TTCCACTTCCTTAATAAGATAAATATATCTGTAGTTGCACTTGAACTCAGCCAACTCAACTCTTAGTCTGTAAATCTCATCAATCATCCCTTGGTTATTGGTAGGATCAACATCAGTCATGATATTGTTATGATTGGCTGTGGTCATTACTGGTGGAGAAGGTAACCCTCATTCCCTTCTGGTGCAGTGGGGCCTTAGTGGTGGAGAGATTGACTTTTGCATTTGGCTGGATTTCCTGATCTTTTGCTTGGCTAGTGGCTGGTCTTTTGAGTATGGATATAGGTGGGGGTGATGGTAAAATTAGATTCTGAGTAGGATTAGGAGGTAGAAATGGAGGCTTGAGATGATTTGGAACGGGGTTTCAAATGGAAGATTTGGTTGGGTGTTTGGTGGAGCTATTGTGGGGAGCTCTCATGGTGTTTCTTTACTTGGTGTGAAGTCTGTGATTTACTTTTAAATCCGTGAAGTAACTTTTTCACATTTGTACTTTTAAATATATGACAGGCCTCTTAGAGAATTTCAATTTTCTGTCTTACATACATGCACAAAGAAAATTCTCTGAGAATTTTGGACAATTTTTTTAATCAATTTTAATAGTACTATAAAGAAATGAGTTTGAAAAAAAAAAAAAATTGAAATTGTGATTAGAATAATTTTATTTTAGTAAAACACTTATATTGTTAATCTTATTATATATATATATATATATATATATATGAATTTGATGATACTAGGACAATATAATAGAATTATTTTATTATTATTATTATTATTATTATTTTTTTTTTTGGTAATTGTGGGTGTCCGGGCTACCTTGCGTGTACCGCGACTAATCTCACGAGACCCTGAAAATATATAATAGAATTATGTTCCTAGATAAGAATTCTTTTTCACTTTCCTTAATTTTTGTAACACATTTTTTAATATCCTACATAAATATTATGTAATTCAAAACACATATATTTTAAATTTTACTTTCTTTAATTTCTGTAACACTATACCTACATAAATGTTTTGTAATCCAAAACCCATAGATTTAAAATTTTCATCAATTATTTATATAATAGAATTTTATTCCTAAATAAGAATTCTTTTTCAAGTATTTTTTTTAACCTTTGTAACACCCTTTCCAATACCCTACCTAAATATTATTCAATCCAAAACTCATATATTTTAAATTTTACTTTCTTTAATCTTTATAACACCCTTTTCGATACCATACATAAATATTATGTAATACAAAATCCATATATTTTAAATTTTCATATTTATTTATTTCATTGAGTGAATGTGGTTGTTTTATTAATATTTTTGTATTATAAATATAAAACTGTTATGAGTATCAGATATTGAGGGCAAAAATGTAATATGTATAACTTTCAGACTTTAACATTTGTATACAACAAATAATCTTAATGAATTCAACAATTAAAATTAAAATGTTACCAAACAGGTTTTCAAATTAATATATTCAGTGCTTAAAGTTTCAGCGCTTAAAATTCAGTACTTGAAATTTTCAGTGCTTAATTTTCAGTTTTATCAAACAACACCTTAGACTCTTTAAATCATGCGTGAAGTCTTATTTTTAAAGATCTAACTAAAATGAACATTTAATAATTTTAATTTCATGAGACGACCATTCTAGTAATTTCAGAATCTTTAAATCAAGCGCAGAGCCTTATTTCTAAAGATCTAATTATAATGGTTATAATAACGAAGACCATGGGATGATGTATAAAAAATTTCGCTCCCACTCAATTTTTAATAATTTATAATTAGGGTTTTCCATTCATTTACGTACATGATATAATGCATGCAAAATGCTTTGATTTTAATTCAATTAAATTTAGAAAATATTTGAATTTTTAAATAATTTACTAATATTTAATTTGAGACACACTTTTAAAAATAATTTTCAAAAATAATTTTTCATTTAAGTGCCTTCTAATTAATTAGTAATCAAATCTAATTAATTTTCATAATTTAATTAATATAAATCAAGTCATTTAAATAAATATCATGGATCCAATGCATGAATAATAATAATTATCAATTATATATTCTATGCATTTCATACATCACATAAATAAATAAATACAGACAAAAACAAATAAATAAAATGGCCAATGAATTTAACTTTTAACATTTAAAAACTAAATAATTAGTAAGTACTACAATTATTGCACCCCTTAAACTCCCACTATTTTTAAGTAGTGGAAAATTACTTTAACATCCACTTAGGGGCTATAATTCACTATTTAATGAGTGAAAACAACACAAAATAATCATAAAAACAAGTCTGGAAGTCCCCATTAGGTTCTGTGCACAGGTAGAAGACAAAACCTGATCTAACACACCCCCCATGCGCCGTCATGCTCTCCCACGAGCCTGTGCAAGGTGGCAGCGCGTGGCATGCGCCTGATGACGCTGGCTTTGGCAGGATCGTGGTCCTTACACGTCTGATGGTTGGCTGTGCATGGAGTGCACGGTTATTGCGGCGCACCAGATCTCTTTACCCATCAGCACTGATCCAATGGTCTTGGATCTGGGGCGCACGGTACGCTGGTGTACCGCACTGCACCGAATCCCTCTTTTTCCCTCCGGCAGCATCATCGCCGTAGGAATCTCACCGGAAATTGTAGAAAAATTAAAAAAAGCCCCAAAAATTCTAGAAAAATTCTAAAAAATCCAGGAACCTTATTTAATACACTTAGACTTTCATCAAGCTTCATAGTACCCATTGATGAAGATTACATGGCTTTAAAATTAATTATACATATGAAATACAATGAAAAATAAATAAATTACATCGTTGAACTTTCAAATGGATAAATCAAAGCCTTAATTACACTCATCCAAAGATAAAATTACATTTAACCTATAAGCTTCATCCATGGCCCAAAAATACATCATCATCATCCATTCACAAATGTACATACATCGTTATCATATATCAATATATATCAACAAACATTAAAATATACATTTGCATATATAAATTGGATCCATGAATGATCATTTTCATAAAAAAAAAACATGATCTCTACTCATGAATCAAACCAAGCTCTGATACCATTGTTGGGAGAATTCGAGTCTTAAAACTTTTTGAGGGATTTTTATACATGTATCTTGATTTATCATATAGAGACCAATTTTATGCAAAAAATAAGACAATGAATCATTCAATTATTAGATTGAAAACTTACATTAAATGTTTGAGTAAATCTTAAATCTTTCCTCTAAAGTGAATGTTCTCACTTATTGTAGACCCTTAGCTGGATCCTTTCTCTTATGATCTCCTTCTTCTTGGTAATGATCTTCCTTTTATGAATCACCCATAAACCTTGACAAATGACCTTGGAGGCAAGACTTGTGGGAGCCTCCTTTAGATGAGAAAGTAAATCCTAAAAATCTAGAGAGAGAAAATATATTTTTCTGTCTTACAAAGGCGTAACCTAAAATATACATGGACCTATGTATATATAGGCAAAATAAAAATAAATATTGAAGACAATATATTTTTCTCAATCTCTCAAATTCACGTGATATCTCAAATCTAATGGCCTCCAATATCAAGTTGGGCTATGGGTGAAAATCCCTTGAATTTACTATTTTATTGGTTATTATGAATTAGTAATTAGACTGGTCCATTATATCATGGACCAAACTCAATTAATTCATAAATTAATTTCTACTCCACTAAAAAAATTAATTGCACTTTAATTAAATAGTAAATAACCTCTAAGTCAATGTTGTATTTTTACCCCTCTATGCATAATTATTTATCAGATTATAAAGCTATCAATCCGACAATATAATTAATATATTTATTTTGGTAACTTTGATTAATTCCGGCTTGATCACAATAAAAATTTGTTTAACAAAAATAATAATTTAGTAAATTAATATACATAAATTTTTTTGTCTAAAATATATGAAGGCCTTCGAATTTACTTTGTGATCAACCATAATCAATACAAAATAAATACAAATAGTAATGATGCAAATATTGAGAATATAATCCTCTAATTATTAATTACATAACTGCTCAAAGTATCGGTCTTTGGATCCCGAAATATCCGCCGAACAAATCAAAGTAATTATTAATTAATAAAAGAGTCTATACTTCTCTCATGCTTGAAGGTCAATTGCCATGACAGTGACAGAGAGCAATTGTATACGACGGCTCTTGCAATATATATCAACTTATCATGAATTCGGTTTAAGTTTTAGTTAATTAAATATCCAACCATAATTACCGATTTTGAATCATTTATGATTATTATTTATAATCTTGTATTAATTGTCATCACATATATATATAAATATATCTTGTAATCTATTGGATATAATTAATTCCATAATGAATAAAAAAATAATACATTATATTCACTAATTGTATAAATATAATGTATTAATAATAATATTTAGATAAGGGACAATGACTTTTATGATCCAAGCAAGAATGGTTATGCACACAAATCCCACCATTGCCAACCTAATACGTGTCCTCTTTATTTAATTATATTTTTATTTGTATTTGTATTTTTATAATGAGCTATCAGACAAAAACAAAGACTTCAAATTTTGAAACTTTAAATCGATAATAATAAAAGAATAGTGCTATTGCAAGTGCGTGCTCGCTAAAGCACTCACGCACTCTACATGTTTAGCCTGGATGTGTTATTCTTGAGATTCGGGAGCACTAAGGAAACTGATCCGTTAACCCTTTACCCAATTTTGTCTTTTTGCTTAACCCTCAACCCACTTTATCTTTCTCTCTCTTATTAGTTTAATTTTTTATTAATTCTTTCTGTGTCATTTGGCTCAGCAGTTCTTAGATTTACTCCCTCTCTCTTATCTCTGAGGCCTGTTTGGAAAAGTGTTCTCAACTGTTTTGTAATGTTTGCAGACCGCTAAGCTCATTTTGAGTCCATAACATATTTGACCTGCCTTATTTTGTTCCCAACAATAACAAAATATTTTCAAAACAAATCCGATTGTTCCAAAAGTTGGATTAATAATTTGGTGTTTTATGATTTTTTTACTGTAGCATAAATAATAATATTTCTTTTTTTTAGGGCAAATCATTTCAGCCACCCAATCGCCTCCGTCTCTATTCTCGTTCTCAACTCTGGAAGTTGCTCCCTCTCTCTCTCTCTGCAATCTCTCTCTCTGCAACTGCAAACACAAAATCTACAAGAATCAGAAGTTCAAAACCCGCCTCCATCTCTATTCTCGTTCTCAACTCTGAACTTGCCCTCTCTCTCTCTCTCTCTCTCTCTGCAACTGCAAACTACAAAATCTACAAGAATCAGAAGTTCAAAACCCATATATTTCAATTTATGCAAGAATCAAAAGTTCAAAGCCTATTACCTATATCAAAATCCCCATATCGGCATATCATTTCAGATTGTTCAAAAAATCAAAACCCATATCTTTCAGTTTCCATCGGCGGCTGTTCCAGTTATGGTTCGCCGTTCGCAAGCTTCAGCCGCTGTCTCTCAACTCTCAAGCTTGCCCCCTCTCTCTCTCTCTGCAACTGCTGTGTGTATGGGTTTTGTTTTAATTTTTTTTTGTAAATCAACTAATCAAGCTCTGTAATCGTATTTGGTGAAATTTTTTATTTGTGTATATTTTGCAAACTAAATCCTATTTGGTGAAATCAAGCCCTGAAATTTCAGATTGTTCAAAAAATCCTATCAGATCGTTGGAAAAACACTACAAAACACAACACTTCGCAAACGGGCCCTAACCTCACTGCAACTCATTTTCATTATTCTCCTTCTCCTTCCTCCCCGAGCGGCCCAACGCCTTTTTTCTCTGTCTAACCTTTTTCCATCTTTCATCTCTTATATATATATATATATATATATATATATATATATACACACACGTGTGTGTCTTCTTTTGCTGCTCAGAGGAAAAAAAAAACAGATTCAAACCAAATTGATTGAAGAAAAAAAAATCTACTACTACTTTAAAATTGTTAGATCGGGGAAAATAATCCATGCAATGGTGGTGTTGGATTTGTTGCTGTGGCTTTTTTTATTTTGATTTTTGATTTTTTTTTTTTTTGTGGGTTTTGATTGTGGTTGTTGTCGGGGTGGAGATTGTGGCGGTGGTTTGGGGTGACCGGCTGAGGATGGTGGTGGTTGGTCGCTGTTCATAGACAGGAGAAAGGGAGGCCAAAATTATTATCAGAAATACAGAGGATTTTTTTCACCCAAAGATAGGTGACTGAAGCAAAACAAAGAGAGAAAGAGAAAGGAGATTGGAAGTGGGTTTTGAACCCAGAAGTGCCATCCTTCAGCTTGTGCCTGACGGATTAATTCTCTCAAAATTTTCAGCTTTTAATCCACGTGCTTAAGCAAAGAAGAGACAGAGAGCTAGGAAGTGACTAGATGGTAAAAAATAGAAGGATTAAATTGGGTTAAGGGTTAACAAAGAGAAAGTTGGGTTAAGGGTTAACGGAGAAAGAACGTTGTGAGAAGAGAGAAAAACTTCTGTTTCGTTAGTGCTCCGAGTCTCAAAAATAATCCATCGTGCGGCTAAAAATAGGGAGCGCGTGAGTACCAGAGGAGAGAGAAAGACACAGACTTTATTGTTCATAGTCCATAAAGTCTGTGTCTTTTTTTTTTTTTTTTTAGGTAAAATAAAGTCTGTGTCCTTCTCTCGTAATATAGTCCATAAAGTCTGTGTCTTTCTTTCTCCTATATGAACAATAAAATAGTCCAAAAAGTCTGCGTCTTTCTCTCTCCTCCGAATCCAATATCAAAAGGGTCCATCCATCGAGGCAGCTCAAAAGAATTTGCTCTGTAGTCTGTAGAGAGAGCGAGAGAGAGAGAGAGAGAGAGAGAGAGACGGGATAGCATGAGCATGGAAGAGAGTTTGCTATTGAAAGATAAGGAGGAGGAAGAGAAGAGAGAGGTGGGTGGACTAAGTACTCTAACATGGAGAGTGTTTGGTCAGGAGGTGAAGAAGTTGGGTTACATAGCAGGACCCATGGTGGCTGTCACTCTATCACAGTACTTGTTGCAAATTATATCGGTGATGATGGTCGGTCACCTAGGTGAACTTTCTCTCTCTAGCACCGCCATCGCCATCTCTCTCTCTAATGTCACTGGCTTCAGTCTTCTTGTAAGTCTCTCCATATCTATATTTCTTGCTTCTTTTTTATTTTATTTTATTTTATTTTTATTTATTTATTTATTTTTTAACTTCTTATTTATAATCATAGTACACATAAATTTGTTGCAATTGAAGTGTTAATTTTCAAATTATTATTTATTATTTATTTTTATTTTTTATGTTACAGGGGATACTGTCTGTGTGTGGAGTATCTTTACTTGTAGTTTTGGTATCAAATTGTCTTTAGGGGGACTTACTCCAATAATGGTCTTGAATTGAAATAGATTGGTGACACTTAATTTTAGTAACCAAAAGCATATTACTTAATCAATTTATGTCCACTTAATTTGCTTCCGCCACTAATCTATCTGCTTTATGTCTGTTAATCAATTCATTTCTATTAAACGCACTTAATTTCCACCTACCATGCATTAAAATATTATCTGCTTTAGCCAAATACACTCAATAATTACAAGTACATCTCCGAACTTTTTAGGGTTAGCCACGTCTATCTTTTGTTGTGGTTTGCGGTAATTATTGTTATTTGCTTCCATTGTGCACCCAATACGGACTAAAAGTTAAGTATTAGAGGAGAGATGACTTATAATAAAAAGGACTGTAAAATGACAATTCATATGATCCACCCCATTCATATGATGAGATTAAGGCAATGATGATAAGGGTGATCAACGGACTAGAGATTTGGTTTGGGTAGCTTTTCTTTGCGATTGCTGTGATAGTTGTAGCTTAAAAACATGCACCGCTACATGATTTTGAGTAAGCCTTTGTCATTAGGTTGAAATAACTTGCATCATAATGAAGAAGGCGAGTAGGGAAGGTGTGGTCCAAAGCCAAAATGTGTAAGCAAATAGACACAGTAGTGTACTGTGTGTACATGTTTATGAATCTGTATTTCTCTGCTATTAGTAATTCTGACAAATTGTTGCGCGAGTAGATACAGTAGGGTCCATGATGTGTATGAATTCTCAATTGTATGCATGTGCTGTCTTAATTCAACTTTATTTATACAATTACCTCTCCGTCGGTCTACATACAACCAGGATTTCTCAAGGTATTCATGACATGAATGATGATTGTTACTCATTCAATTCACTCGAACATATTACTTGCTCAACTATCGAAATGATGAACAAACTTCTGTATCCATAATGGTATAAAATAAATGAAATGTAAGAGGAGAAGAGAGATATTATATTGGATTTGCAAGAAATAGTGGTAATTTAATATGGTTCGGAATTTATTTTATTTTTATTTTTATTTTTCCACAACTAACTAGATTTTGTACTTTCCAAACAGTTAGGAATGGCTAGTGGGTTGGAAACTTTGTGCGGGCAAGCTTATGGTGCTCTGCAATACCAAAAACTCGGTACTCAAACTTACACTGCCATTTTCTCTCTCGTCATCGTTTGTATCCCTCTCTCTGTCATATGGATATATATGGGAAAAATACTAAGTTTCATAGGCCAAGACCCTCTGATTTCCCACGAAGCCGGTAAATTCACAATGTGCCTTGTTCCTGCCCTTTTCGCTTATGCAACTCTTCAACCACTTGTTCGGTATTTTCAAACGCAGAGTTTGGTACTTCCTATGCTGTTAACCTCATGTGTCATTCTTTTTTTTCATATACCTCTTTGTTGGGTGCTAGTATTCAAGTCCGGGTTAGAAAACCTTGGAGCAGCACTAGCAATTAGTATTTCGTATTGGTTAAACGTAATCGTCCTTGGTTTATACATGAGGTTCTCGTCTGCCTGTGAAAAAACCCTTGCCCCATTTTCAATGGAGGTGTTCCAAGGAATTGGAGAATTCTTTCGCTTTGCTGTTCCCTCTGCTGTCATGGTTTGGTAATTTCTCTTCGGTTTTTTCTATTTTTTTCTGCCACGCCCTTAGAAGAATTTCAATATATATATACTAAAATGATACTAGTATTCATTAATGCGTTTTTCTTGATTGTTGTAGTCTTGAGTGGTGGTCATTTGAGCTGCTTATCTTGCTCTCTGGGCTCTTGCCTCATCCCCAACTCGAAGCTTCAGTATTGTCTGTATGGTATGTCTGTGTCGGCTTATTTGATTCTGAACAATCTGGATATCCTTGAAATACAAGATGGTGATTCTAATTTCTTCTGGTTTTTTGTGAACAGTCTTTCAACCATATCTACACTCTATACAATACCATATGGACTTGGTGCTGCTGTTAGGTTAGCTTGAAACCTAATGTATGAATCTTTGTGCATATGTTATATACTAGTTAGGACGGTTCATCTACTCATTGGTGTGGTAAAAATTTATTCACGAATTAAATCCTCATGATTGGATATACAAACATAAATTGCTTTTTTTAACTATCCAATGAAATCTAACGATCAATGAAATCTAACGATTAATATTTGAAGTGTGCCTACATCACGTTATGTGTGTAGTACGAGTTCTGGTGTTGTGACTTTCTTTCTTTTCAGCACTAGAGTTTCAAATGAGTTAGGAGCTGGGCACCCACAAGGGGCTCGTGTGGCTGTCTTTGCTGTGATGTTCCTTACAGTCGCGGAGACAACCATAGTAAGTGCAACGCTTTTTGCCAGCAGGCGTGTTTTCGGATACACTTTCAGCAATGAGAAGGAGGTCGTGGATTACGTCACAACCATGGCACCTTTGGTTTGTCTGTCTGTAATAATGGATAGCCTGCAAGGGGTCCTTTCAGGTTATATATTTTCCTTGCTACGTTTAATCTCTATTCAAGGAAAACAAAAAAAAAAAAAAAAAAAACACCTTTTTTGATGCATAATGCTACATTTTGTTTATTCAAATCAGGTGTTGCTAGGGGATGTGGATTGCAGCATTTAGGAGCTTATGTAAACCTCGGGGCCTTCTATCTTTTTGGAATTCCTATTGCTGCCATATTGGGTTTCTGGTTAGAGCTAAGAGGAAGAGGCCTCTGGATTGGGATACAAGCTGGTTCTATTCTACAAACAATTCTGCTGGCTGTAGTAACAAGTTGTACAAATTGGGAAAAACAGGTGCACTCTACATCTTACTTTATATTTATTTTTATTTTATTTTTTATCGTGGCAAGTAACACATGGTTCCACTTGCTTCTTTGTACTTCATTTGGTTGGAAGGATGAAAAAATTGAAAGGAGGGATGGATGAGGAATTCCTTAGGGAAGGTGTCTCCCCCATTTTTTGTTTGGTTGAAATAGAAAGAATAGTTGGAGTTAATACTTTTTTATATTTGGTTGGAAGTAAGGGAAAAAGAGTTTTTATATATTTTATACTAATATACCTTCACTGTATAAAATAATAAAAGGTAGAAATTCATTTAAATTTTTTTGAAAAGGTTAAAATTGAAAATTGTAGAAGTGTACGTAGTTATTCAGTTTCTCTCTCCTCCCTTTCCCCCCAAAATTGGCTCCCTCCTTGCTTCATCCCTATCTTCCCTTCCCTTCAACCAAAAACGAAAAGATTCATCCATCTATCTTCTCATCCATCCCTCCTCAATCATTCCCTCTAACCAAACATAGCATAATAAGAAATTAAACACAAAACACAAGAAGGAGATCAAACACATGCACAACAAAAACACACAAATTTATTTGGTTCACCCAAAATTCAGGGTTACGTCCAAGGATTGTAGGAATAACACTGTGATAATCAAAACAATAACAGATAAAGAGAGTTCGGAATGAATAAATATCCTTGTACTTGGGTAACTTAACAAGTGCAAAAATTACCAAAATAGCCCCCCCACAATCTGAGGGCCTTGATGTACAGTATCTATCAGACTCCACCCCATCAAACTCCCAACGCTCACCACTAAGCCACAACCTTTGGTCCACTGTACTTATCTCAAAGCCCTATTTGCAACTATCGAGTTCGGCTAGGTTATTAATTTGTTGGTCCATGTTACCTAATAGTGTTTTTTGTGGTGGAATTTTGTTTTGCAGGCAACAAAGGCAAGGGAGAGAATGTTTGAGGGAATATCTTCATCAGATAATTGTTCAATTTGAATGAGCAAAGATTTTCAATAACTAGTTTTGCAATGGTACAAGACAGTTACTACTAATCAAAGATTTGAGATTGTAGATCATCCATCTTGTTTCTTAGCATCAAAACTTCTTAAGCATTGCATTATATATATGTGAGATATATTTTGTAATTGGCTAATTTCGATGTCAAAACGAGTCCGATCGAGTTATAATTTTTGATGTAAAAATATCGAAGATTGAAAATCGGATGCGGATTTGAAGAAGGTTAAGTGTTCATGATAAATTATACTCCGAGATGATGAGAACAATGCTATAAGATGTTTTGAGAGGCAGTGAGAACATTTAGGAAGGGTTTTGAAAGGTTTTGAACAAGATTTTACATTCTGTCCATCTTGAACTGGTTCAAGATTTATCGAACAGGTTCAACTTGAACTGGTTCAAAATTTATCGAATAGGTTCAACTTCAGTAGAGTGGCGATTTTAGAGTCTGTCCATCTTGAACCGGTTCAAGATTAATCGAACAGGTTCAAGACGTCCTGGTACTATTCTAACTTCAGTTTCCTTTTTCTAAAAGTTTCCTTTTTTATCCCAACTTCCTTTTAAGTCCTATGCACGAAATTTATCATATTTTCTAAGGGATTAGGGCTTTCAAAACTCTATATAAACCATGTTATATACATTGGTTTATTTACGACTTGAGGGAAAATCAATTCTATATTTTGATAAAGCCTTTTAGAGAGAGAAAATTCAGAAAATCAAATCTGATTATTTTGAATTTATTTATGAGAGCATACACATATATTCATGAGTGATTTAGTGGTGTTGTTTTCTATCTTATCGGAATCGGAGTTATACTGAAGATTCAGATATTCCAGATGAGAAGCAGGATTTAATTCTTCTACAATTGAATTCAGACGATCGAAGAACAGAAGTAAATGCAGTCACACTTTGGAAGGATTAGAGCATTTGTGGAGTGCTATCTGATCTACCTGCTACTCTTCTACAAATATCAAGTGTAAGCCTGAGATCAAGTTGCTGTTAGACGGGGAGTCGCAAAGGCAGAGAATCGTCAGCGGTTGGTGTGGTGTAGAACAATAGGGTGTGAGCCAGAGTCAAAGTTCGGTATACTTTGTTTTAAACATAGTGGATTAGTTTACTTTAGACTGCATAATCCACGAGGTTTTTCCCATAACAGTTGACGTATTTTATCAATTGGGGTTTACTCGCTAAAAATCCTTGTGCAATCTCTCTAAACTTAACTTACTTTACTTTTCAGTATTTATATTTATGATTGTGGATGTTTAATTGATCATGCAATTTAATTTATCATAAACTAAGCAAGTTGACCTAATAATTAGATCTAGGTCATTAAAGGAGTTAATCACAATTAAAATCAACTGTTTCCACACCCCGCGTAACTCTTGTTTTCACATTTTGGTATCAGAGCGGGATACTCGATATACAGAGTAGATCATATTTGTTGATTGATTGTTGATTTTTTCATCATGTCTGAAAATTCCTCTGTTGTTGAAGTGTTGCCTTTATCTCCTATTTTTTATTCTGTCACAAGCATGCAAAGTGAATGGTCAAAATTTAAAAAGGATTTTGAAAATTTGTTAGAAAAATTGAATCTTGCTGAACTTGATAGAGATATTTATAAGTTAGAAGTTTCTGTTTCTAATAAGAATTTGAAAGAAATTGGCTTTAAGAATTTGAATCTTCTTTATAAGATTGATTTTCTAGAAAAGGAACTTAAGAAGGTAAATTTGTTTAATAAATTACTAGAACTTAAAATTGATAATTTGAGTAGTAAATTTGTTAAATCAAAACAGTCGTTTCAAAAAATTGATATTAACATTTGCAAAATAGATAAGTTGAAAGGTGTGGTTGAGAATATTAGTCATAACAAAGAATTTGTTTCAATTTCAAAGGATTTGTATTTTCAGAAATCTAAAGATATTTTTGTGAAAGTTGAAACCAAGCCTTGTGTTATTTCTAATTCTCTTAAACTTATTTCAACATGTCATTTTTGTAGTGAAAAAGGGCATATCAAGTTTAAGTGTCAGAAAAGGAAAATTGAACTAGGAAAGAAATTGAAAAATTTTGAGAGTTCAAATTTGAGAAAGAAGAGGATTAGGACTGTTGAGCCTTGTGACACTTTGCCTAGAATAATAGGGAAATCATTGCATAATGAATCTAAAATTGTTTGGGTAAAGAAAGAGAATTTTAAATGTCTTGCCATGCACATAGCACTTAGAGCACTTAGTCCATGTGGTTGGTACATTGATAGTGATTCCTCTAGGCATATGACAGGGGATAGAACATTATTTACCACGTTTAAGGAATGCTCAGTTGGTACTGTTACTTTTGGTGATGGTAAGGCTTCTACTGTAAGTGGTAAGGTAAGATCAAATTTTTACGAATTGGGGAGTTAAAAAATGTTCTATATGTTAAAGGTTTAGCTGCTAATCTGTTGAGTATTAGTCAAATATGTGATGAGGAGTTTCAAGTCAATTTTACTCAACAAGGGTGTTTTGTAACTAATGAAAAAGGTGAATGCATCTTGAAATGAACTAGAACTTCTGATAATTGTTATGTTGTGTTTTCAGATCCTTTACTTATGTGTTTTTCTACAGTTACTGATGAGGCTGTTTTATGGCATAAAAGACTTGGACATGTGAATTATAATGATTTAGTGAATTTGTCTAACAATAATCTTGTTCGAGGTTTGCCTATATTGAAAACGCCTAAGAATGAAATATATGGTCCATGTTAGTTAGGAAAACAAACTAGAGTGTCACATAAGAGACTTATTCATAAAGTCACTTCTCGACCTTTAGAGTTGATTCATATGGATTTGATGGGTCGCATAACACCTGATAGCATTGGAGGAAAAAGATATTTGCTTGTTACGGTTGATGATTTTTCTAGGTTTACTTTTGTTGCATATTTGAGAGAAAAATTTGACACTTTTGTGAATTTCAGGTCTATTTGCCAACTTATTCAAAATGAGAAAGGATATCGAATTAATCGGATTAGAAGCGACAATAGAAGTGAATTCGAACCTAATGAGTTTATTGAATATTGTGATAAGAATGGCATTAAGCATGAATTTTCAACACCTAAAACACCACAACAGAATGGTGTAGTGGAAAGGAAAAATAGGACAATTGCAAGTATGGCTCGTACTATGCTTCAGGAGAATAAGATTGTTAGTCACTTTTGGGCTGAATCGGTACGTACTGTTTGTCATATCCTAAATAGAGTTTATCTTAGGCCTGGAACTAACAAGACTTCATATGAATTGTGGTATGATAGAAAGCCCACTGTTAAATAAGAGGTTGAAGAAGATAAGGATGAGGAATTAAAGGTTACCACTGATGAACCTATAGGAGTTCCTGCATCGTCTCTAGATATTCCCACATCTAGCAATTCTAGAGTTAGATTGAGTCATCCAATTGATAATGTGATAGGTCCTTGGAATAAGCATGGTACTAGGAGTACAGTCCGTGATGATGTAAGACACTCATGCATTATAGATGATATAGTTCACTCATGTCACATGTCTCAGTTTGAACCTAAGAATGTTGATGAAGCTCTTCAAAATTCTGATTGGCTTATGGCTATGCAAGAAGAATTGCTTCAATTTGTGAAGAATGATGTTTGGGAATTAGTGCCTCAACCTAGTGATGTTAATATCATAGGGACCAAATGGATCTTTAAAAATAAATTTGATGAACATGGTCTTGTGATGAGGAATAAAGCTAGGTTAGTTGCATAAGGATACACTCAAGTTGAAGGAATTGATTTTGATGAGACTTTCGCACCTGTTGCTAGACTTGAGTCTATTCGACTTCTTTTTGTTCTAGCATGCCACTTTAAATTCAAATTGTTTCAAATGGTTGCTAAAAGTGATTTTCTTAATGGTATTTTTTAGGAAAAAGTTTATGTAGCACAACCAAAAGGTTTTATTGATTCACATAATCCTGATTTTGTTTTTCATCTTAAAAATGCTCTTTATGGTTTAAAGCAAGCACCTAGAGCATAGTATGAGAAGTTGACTTCTTATCTATTGCACAAGGGCTTCAGAAGAGGAGGAGCGGATAAAACGTTGTTTATTTCAAGAAAGGAAAAGATTTTTTTGTTGCTCAAATATATGTGGATGATATTGTTTTTGGTGCTCTTGTTATAACCTTGTTCATAATTTTTCTAAAGATATGAGGATTACTTTTGAAATGAGCATGGTTGGTGAACTAACTTTCTTTCAAGGTCTCCAAGTGAAACAACTTGTGATACCCCCGAATTTCCGAATGTGGGTTGGCCAGGCCCACGCCCGAATACCCGAGGATATCAAAACAAATTGATAATAAACGAACACAGAGTACAAAAGAATAAAGAAGAATAAATAAAATGCTGACAAGAAACTAAAATGATAATCTAATAATAAACCTCATAATATATTTCCATTAATTAATAAACTCTTCTGATAAAACTGATCCTCCAAAATACAACTCGGGAATCCATACTGTGTGGACCCCTAGAAAATCCAAACTAAACAAATGACAGTATTATAAAACAGGAAACTGAATCATAAAGGAACTCCTATGTAGCATCGGAAGAATGAAGTAGATTGATCCCCGCTCAGCACGAACAACCTCTACTCGTGACGAACACCTGAAAAACAATGGTGGGTCAGGCCCACAAACAAGTTCTACTCTACTACAGTCCAAGCAGAGATCCGATACACGTATACATCCTAGTCAATCCAACAGTAACTAGTAGTCCGTATATATATATATACACACTAAAGGAACCTCACTAGACTATAGGGTTGTCTCAACCTGAATAGTAGGCAACATGCAAAACGCACATATAGTGGGCATGAGTACCTAGACCTACCAGGGTACACAACTACACTATATCTAGCTACACATCCCTGGCGATATACGCACCCTAACCACTGATCCTGAGACTCAAGCTCATATCATGGCACCATACTTATATATATAAAATCTAGTGACCATCCTATCCAGTATAAATTAATCCTCCATAAGTCATTCAACTTGTTCAGCTGACCTGACTTGAATATAAGTAGGACTTAATATTTTAGTTAATCCATTCCCTTATATAATAAATTAATCCTCTATAAGTCATTCAACTTGTTCAGCTGACCTGACTTGAATATAAGTAGGACTTAACATTTTAGTTAATCCATTCCCTTATATAAAATAGGTAGGACTTAACTGATAAGTTAATCCGTCCCTAGAATGCCACCGTCCCATACCGGTGCATTAAACCACACAATCCAACAATTGATGTAATAATTAAAGAAATACATCAAACATTCCAGAAATAACTATGATAATATGATATCAAGTTATCACAGAATATGAATGACTTATTATTTATTTAAGCTCATATATCATATGTCCTACACAAACTGAATCTTATACATGATGATATTTTATTATATCGTCAAATAAGCATTCTCCATATCCAATTCATCCTACACATTTATTCTCAATTGCTAAAGCATTTTAAAAGATTAAATCCATTCGTTTGTGTAAACATTTAAATAGCAAGCATCGTTATGATTGAGTGTATTTAAATTTATTTAAACCCAAACCTAGTCCCTATTTAATGTTCAGGAATCCTAGGCATGTTTCTACGTTCCATCATTCCACATATATGAAAAATACATAATTCAAACATATAAAAATTCACACCAGAAATCAAATCAAAATCATGCATTTTTTAATTTATAACACAAGAACAGATATGACCCAATTTCACAAAAACCTATACTTTAATCCAATTAAACATGCATAATTATTTAATTTTCACTCATTTTTCAACCTATAGTTGTGTATTTATAGGCTAAATAATAACCTTATTCCTTTTCCCAATCCAAGTCAACTTAATAAAAAATAAATAAAAATGAAAATATTAAAAAGGTAACTTAAAATATGTTACGTATATAATCTATGTATATCCTTATTAATTAAATAAAATATATACATTAGATTATTTAGTAATACTAAAGTTACCATAATATTAAAAGGTAACTTAAAACATGTTAAGTATATAATCTATCTGTATTCTCATTAAATAAATAAAATATATACATCAGATTATTTATTTATACTAAAGTTACCATAATATTAAAAAGGTAACTTAAAACATGTTACGTATAAAATATATGTATATCCTTATTATATAAATATATAAAATATATACATCAGATTATTTATTAATACTAAAGTTACTATAATATTAATAAATTACTTTCCTTTTTATATATATGTATATACATATATATCTATATATATACATATACAACTATCCATGGATAATTATCCATACCCATCCAACCTCCTATCCAAGCAGTCCATGGGATCCAATTGGTTGGCCAATTACCACTAACCATAACCATAAAAGAAAAATAAAATAAAATAATAAAAGAAATGAAAACATTTAATTTACAATTAATTAACATTAATCAAATACATCATTTAAGCACACAATCTAATTAAACAAATAATACAAATAACACCTAGACAAAATACAAATAACACATAGATAAGTAGCCAATTAATCAAGTAACACTTAATTCAATTAAACACATAAACAATTAGTCAAATAATCAATTAAACAATTAAAAAATATATAATAAAAATAAATAAATAAATACCGAGACTATCCTTTTAAAATTAGGGGTATTACACAACTTGATGATGGGATTTTCATATCTCAATCAAAATATACAAAGGAGCTAGTTAAAAAGTTTGGTATGAAAGATTCAAAGCATATTCAAACTCCTATGAGTACTTCATCCAAATTGGAAAGAGACTTTGATCCTAACAAGCTTGATCATTTCTTGTATAAGAGTATGATTGGTAATTTGTTGTATTTGGTAGCAATTAGGCCAGATATTTCATTTAGTGTAGGTGTTTGTGCTAGGTATCAAGCTGATCCTAGAGAACAACACATCCTTGCAGTCAAGCGTATTATTCGTTATGTCAATAGTACATTGAATTATAGATTGCGTTATTCTTCTGAGTCTAACTCTGAGATTGCAGGCTATACTGATGCTGATTGGGCTAGAAACAAGGATGATAGAAAAAGTACTTCCGGTGGTTGTTTCTATGTTGGTACTAATCTTGTTTCATGGTACAGCAAGAAGCAAAATTGCGTATCTTTATCATCTTGCGAGCCTGAATACATTGCTGTTGGAAATTGTTGCACACAATTGCTTTGGATGAAACAGATGCTTTTGGATTATGGAGTTGATCAAGATATTATTTCTATCTTTTGTGATAATACTAGTACAATAAATATTTCAAAGAATCCAGTTTTGCATTCTAAGACTAAACACATTGACATTCGAAATCACTTTCTTAGGGAACTTGTTGAACAAAATGTCGCGTCTTTGGAAAAAGTGCATACTAATCAAAATTTGGCTGATATTCTCACTAAACCATTAGATGCTCATAAGTTCTCTCATTTTAGGAAATCTATTGGTATTTGTTGTCTTGATTAGATGCATTGCAAAGACATAGTCTAGAAAGGATTTTCATGCATATCTTGAGTGTCTAGATTATATTTTTGGGAAGTTAAGCAAACCATATTGATTGAGTATGTTGAACACAAGGAGTTTAATGACACATGGATTATCTGTGGAAAGCATATAATGGCTATGATTTGATGAAATTGGTTTTGCTTACTTATTTCGTATAGTAAATGAATCATTGATAATACATTTACTTGAGATTTCGTTATTTTGGTCGAAGATAATGTTGATATGATTGATCATTATCTTGGAATTTAAATTTGATTTATGTGTTTTAGACCAAAAGAGTAAAAAGAAAAAGAAAATTGAAAAACAACTTGGAATGAAAAAGTTTTTGAAAAAGAAAGACAAATATTTGCTGTTTTGAAAAAAAAAAGATGGAAAAGGCTACCTTTGGGAATTGTCCGAAAGCTACCTTGACTCGAAACAAATGGGAATAAAGGAAAGAGCTGGCTGCTCATAAGCGTGAATGCCGTCAATGTGCAAAAAGAAAAAAGAAGCACAGAGAGAGAAAAAAAAATGTCTTTTGCACATGTTGATTGTTTGATTTCTAAGGATATGTGATATCATTAATTTATTATCTGAAATTTGAATAATTGACATATCATTGTTTTTGGAACTTGGTGGTGATTTTACTACACTTACTAAGTTTGTGGAACTTAAAGAATTGATCTTGGTTATTTCTGTTGATACATATAATCTTGTGGAGTTTACATTCTCATTGGTTTTAATTTACAAGATTTATATGGTTGGTTTCTTCCTACTTCTAGGATTTTTCTTCCTTCTGACCCTTGTCAATTTGTGACAAAAAGAGGGAGAGAGTTGTGATACTTATCATTGAGAGGGAGATAACTTTTTGCATTGAGGGGGTGAACTATTGTTCAGTGCATTGACATTCAGGCATTATTAGCTTTGCTATTTTGTGCTTGTGTTTATTTTCTTGATTAAGCTTCACTGGTAATTGTGTTTGAGCTAATGTGCAGATTACAGGTTGCTACATGTGTTGAAGCTTCATAAGGTTCAAGAAACTTTCCGCATTTTTTTTCCTTTAACATTCAATGTAATTTACTTTCCTACTCGGGTAGATTGCTGAATTGTTTTAGAGTTTTGTCACGAAATTGCCAAAGGGGGAGATTGTGAGATATATTTTGTAATTGGCTAATTTCGATGTCAAAACAAGTCCGATCAAGTTGTAATTTTTGATGTAAAAATATCGAAGATTGAAGATCGGATGCGAATTTGAAGAAGGTTAAGTGTTCATGATAAACTATATTCCGAGATGATGAGAACAATGCTATAAGATGTTTTGAGAGGTAGTGAGAACATTTAGGAAGGGTTTTGAAAGGTTTTGAACAAGATTTTACATTCTGTCCATCTTGAACTGGTTCAAGATTTATCGAACATGTTCAACTTGAACTGGTTCAAAATTTATCGAACAGGTTCAACTTCAGCAGAGTGGCGATTTTAGAGTCTATCCATCTTGAACCGGTTCAAGATTAATCGAACAGGTTCAAGACGTCCTGGTACTATTCTAACTTCAGTTTCCTTCTTCTGAATGTTTCATTTTTTATCCCAACTTCCTTTTAAGTCCTATGCACGAAATTTATCATATTTTCTAAGGGATTAGGGCTTTCAAAACTCTATATAAACCATGTCATATACATTGGTTTATTTACGGCTTGAGGGAAAATCAATTCTATATTTTGATAAAGTCTTTTAGTGAGAGAAAATTCAGAAAATCAAATCTGATTATTTTGAATTTATTTATGAGAGCATACACATATATTCATAAATGATTTAGTGGTGTTGTTCTCTATCTCATCGGAATCGGAGTTATACTGAAGATTCAGATATTCCAGATGAAAAGCAGGATTTAATTCTTCTACAATCGAATTCAGACGATTGAAGAACAGAAGTAAACTCAGTCACACTTTGGAAGGATTGGAGCATTCGTGGAGTGCTGTCTGATCTACCTGCTACTCTTCTACAAATATCAAGTGTAAGCCTGAGATCAAGTTGCTGTTGAACGGGGAGTCGCAAAGCCAGAGGATCGTCAATAGAATGTGAGTCAGAGTCAAAATTCGGTATACTTTGTTTCAAACATAGTGGATTGGTTTACTTTGGACTGCATAGTCCACGAGATTTTTCCCATAACAGTCGACGTATTTTATCAATTGGAGTTTACTCGCTAAAAATCCTGGTGCAATCTCTCTGAACTTAACTTGCTTTACTTTTCAGTATTTATATTTATGATTGTGGATGTTTAATTGATCATGCAATTTAATTAATCATAAATTAAGTAAGTTAACCTAATAATCAGATTTAGGTCATTAAAGAAGTTAATCACAATTAAAATCAACTGTTACTGCACCCCCTGTAACTCTTGTTTTCACAATATACGCTTGTATTTTATTAGCATGTGTCTAAGGTAGTTGTATGTTCGTTTTTTGGGAAGCAGTCTTAGCTAATTGTGTCTATAAGTTTGTCCTATAAAAGAAAATTCCATATTCAACTCTAATAATGCCAAATATCCATTACAAACGCTACACCTAATGTAACTAACTTGTCAGTTTTAACTTTTTTTTTGGGAGGCAAACTCCACTTGCATTATAATTTTTTAAATGATATAATTGCCCTTTTAAATTTTTTCTCTCTAATTTTTAATATTTTTATTTTCTTTTGACAAGATTTTTTTTTTTTTTTTTTTTTTTACGAGACCAGCAAAAAAAAATATGTTGAATAAATTGTTTCTTTTGACCGGATCAAAAAAAAAAAAAAAAAAAAAAAAAAACTATTCAAAAAATTCTCTCTTTTGGCGTGAAAAAAAAAACCTCCCAAAATATATATTTATTAAAGAAATTATCTTTTTGTCAAGATCCAAAAAAAAAAAGTACGAAAAGAAGAGGATTAAAAAAAATAATTATCTCTAAGACAAAAAAAAAAAAAAAAAATCTTTTGACGAGTTACAGGACCCATCAAAAATTAGCAAAACAAAAAAAATTACCCTTTTTAACAAGACTGAAAAAGTTACCTCTTTTGACTTCTTTAAAAATTTCATAATTTACTACCGAACACAAGTTATCTTTTTGTCTTACATGCACAAAGCAATTGTCGAAAAAAAATTCGAAATTTTTGGACAATTTTTTTTAATCAATTTTAATAGTACTATAAAGAAATGCGTTTGGAAAAAAAAAATTGAAATTGTGATTGGAATAATTTTATTTTAGTAAAACACTTATTTTGTTAATTTTATAATAATGCTGAAATTTGATGATTGTAGGACAATATAAAATACTGATAAAATAATTATTTACGGAGTATAAAAGTAAAAAGATAAAATTGTCTAAATAAAAAATTACCAAAAATATAAGTCCAGAGACTACTCGATTTCATAAGCAATTAAGCAAACCTAAGAGGTAGGGGACTAGGGGTGTATAATGTATATAACGGGGACGATTATTGATCCTGCGTAAACCCAAACCCTTAACGCCTTCTTAGAACAGTTTAGAGAGAGAGAGAGATGGGTAGAGCAGCGAAAGAGCGTCTGAATCGAGCTTTGAGTGAACATCTGAATACCATCCATGAAACCTTTCAGGTTCAACTCTTTTCACTGTTTCAGACTTCAGATTTTATATATATATATATATGTATGTATAACTATGTTTATACATATGTATGCCTCTTTTTTGGGGCTGCTTGATGTAATATTTTTGTATATGTATGTAGGTGCTGGATCAAACACCTGCTTCATCTCTTACTAAAGTCAGCTGGAATGAGGTTATTCAATTGGGAGAACAACTTTCCAAACAAGCTACTACAGGTGTTCTTCTTTCCTTTCTATTTCTTTGGAATTCTTGCAATTTCAAGTTCTATCATTACTTTTTTTATGCTCTCTTATAGTTTTTGTGTGATGGGTTTTCTCAATTTCAACTGTTTATCGAAGATTCTTTATTAATTACATGTTACATGCTTGTTTATCGGTATAGTCTTGTTTGCAATGGGCAACTTGAAGAGACGGAACTTTACGAATTCTCGTGAGCTTTACATATTTTATTTACTAAACACCCAAATTTTGTTCCCAGAAGTGCATTGAAAGGCAATGATTTGTTCCCGAGCAGTGGTTTGAAAGCCAATGACTTACATTGTCAGGCCAAAAAAAAAGAAAAATGGAAAAAGCCAATGACTTTTTTGTTGGTTCTATCAATAATATGAAATAGTATTGGAGTGTTTTCTAATGCCTATCATATAGGGATGGGTGAATAATGTGTTTCCACATACGATGGGAGTTCACGATTGAAGCTTCATACTGCTAGTGAATGAACTTGTGTTGAAGAAATCATAAGCAATGCCAAGGAAAGAAAATGAGTAATCATATGAAATGCTTTGTTAGAAAAGGACAATATTTAAGAAACACGATACAATAAGCAAAACCGAAAAAGCTGAAATTTTGCATCTTTTGGTTGCAAAACCAGAAAAATTTAAGTTATATTTATGATAGGTTTAAGATTCCAATTTTCTTTTATTTTCCTCATTATTTTATAAAAATAAATAAAACATAGAAGAGATTACCTAATGCTGACTTTTGGATTTCCATTGGTAGCTTCCTGCTTGTCAGTCTTGATTTTTCTGGCCTTTGTCTTGCAATGTTTATATGGGGCGTGGCTGTGAAGTTTGGAAAAATTCTAGTGTAACTTAATGATTTTGTCTTCACAACCTTGAAAAATAATCCCAACAATCACAGTCAAGAAGTTTCTTTCCAGAATTAGGTGCTATAAAATCCAATCAATATAATATCTTGATATATTGTATAGATTGTCTCGACTCTAGGAAAGGCTTTTCATGGCCTTGCAGGGACATGGTAGTGTAGGGAACAAAAGGAAAGGTGCTTATGAATGTTTGCCAACTCATAGGAAGTTGAGACATCATTTGTTTATCCATTCTGTGGGGGATACCTTTTTATTATTTTTCAACTTATAGAGCTCCTATTTGTACTTGGTCACACTGACATGTAGTTTGCATGTTCATCTATTGAGCTATTCAACTCCTTGTTTTGTTAAAAATGACTTGAAGCTTTAACAACCAACCTAAGCACTATTTTGGTCGTAATTGTTTTAGATATTAATCACTGCAGCAAAGGTGTTTTTTTGTAACAACAGTGGACATTTGCAAACTCTGAATATTTGTTGAATAAATAGTCTCCCAATTGATAATTTATGCACTTCACAATAATTTAGTTGCATTTATGCATCTTTGAGATGGAAAAGAAGAAGGTAATTCTAAACTCAATGGTCTTTCTTCTTTGCTGTTATTAAAATGCCATATTGGTTTCCAAAAGTTTCTTTCTTTACATCAATGTTGCTTCCATTTGTTAGGGAAACATTAAAATGACAAACTTTTCCATAGTAAATTTGGAGAGCAGCATATTATTACATGAAGGGGGAAAAAAGGAGTCCAGTCCCCATTTTTTTTATCCCGATGGTAGTGTGGTGGATACCAATTACCCAGTGCCCATTTGTCCATGAAGCATGATGGGTGAGGTTCAAGTAATTAATCATGTATTTATATACCTTGCAGTTGGAATGCTTTGGACAGGAGAAACGCCAGAAATTAAGGCACTTGAGGAGAACATGGCAGCATATTTCAATACGCTACAGGGTTTCCTTTTGCTTTCCCATGGAAGTATAGTGGGTGCAGGTCCTACACTTTCTTCTTGCATCCATGCATCTGTGAAGCAAGTTGTTGATTGCAGTTTTATGCTATTTAAAGAGTGCGTCGCTTCTTATGGTACTCTCTCTCTCTCTCACACACACACGCGCGCGCACGACATTGGACATGCAATGCTTTGGATAGTGGGAATAGAAAAGCATTTACAAGTGATAAATGAACCCATAATGTTTTATGTGCATTAAGTTAGGACTTGGTTCTCTTGTAAGAAAGGATAAAGGATATTGAATTTGAATATGAAAGGATAAGACGAGGATTCTGGTTATTACAACATTTTGTCTCTTTTTTATAACTTTCTGAGTGTTTAATTGCTTCATTGCCACGTGGACAGTGAGGCATCAATTGTTGGGAGTTGGACAACTATTTGCTCAAAATAATGAAAATTCAGTAAGGCAAAGTTGGATCTTCTTTGGCCTTTGTCTTGATTTCCTAGCTTGAATTGTGTCTAGTAAATAGCAGGTTTGTAGGCCACAATTTTCTTGTCTTATACAAGTGTATTCGGAATCATTATAAACTCATAAGTAGTGGTAAAAATTTAATACTGTATTGAAATCTATCAGGAGTTAGGAAGCACGGAAACTTCTCCTAGAGACCTAGGAGTGCCGTGGCGGTGTTGGTCCTGTCGGACACTCAAACACACGGTCCGGACATGTGTCCAACACGGCTGTGTCCTAGAATATGAATATATAAATATATTCTGGTTGGATACGGCGGGGACATGTTTGGGACACTTTTAGGACACAATGTGGTAGTTTTGTACTTTGAGTCTAGTATACTCCTGTGCCAGAAATATATCATAGACTGGTTGAAATCCTGAGGACTATCATTCATTGTTGATGTAATTTCCCTTGGTGCAATTTTCTTCTACAAAGAAGAACCTTGTGTGAGGACCAAATAATATAAAATTTCACCGGACCACTGAGTTACTGTTAGGAACAAAAGTATGGTTCTTTAACTAAAATACCAATACAAACTGCTAGGGCTAGGATACAGCACTTTATGCATCTCAATTCAAAAGGACCAAAATGTTCTCACCCATATATTCAACTGCTTTTACAACCATTTCCTAGTACTACGTCCGTCCCAAAAAAAGTGTCCTTAATAGGGAATCGTGTCAATTCAATTTGTGTGAGTCACGGTTTTCCAAAAGTGACACTTTTTATGGGACGGAGGGAGTACATAATAATAAATCCTGATTTAGAATGCATGGAGACACGGTGATACGCAAATTTTTAAAAAATATATATTTATATATAGAGGACACGGATACAGCGGTGATACATAATATAACATATATATTTATAATTTTTGTTCAGTGATACATCAAAAGTAATAATATAACATATATATATAATTTTTGTTCATTTTATTATCACTCATTTGGAACTTAGAGCTAGATGTTTTTTGTTTTTAATTTCTAAAATTTTATATTATTTTTCTAATTTACCTATAATATATTTTAAATGCATCTGAATCACGTTCTTCAAAGAAAAAAGTACATCAAAACTAGGACTAGAATGCTGGAGTGTTTATGTTTACTAGCCTCCATAAAAACTAAGTTTAACAAGTTCAAGCCCTTTCCTTAACCCTAAAAATATCCTGAAAAATAGTTCTAATTCTCCCGGGAATATGTTTTGTCCTGAACAGCTAAATCGACAGTTGTATCCCCCTAACAAGAGCAAAGTACAGGAATGAATTCAAACTTATCAAGATAGATGTTTTGAAGGTGTAAATGAAGGAAAAGAATATGGCATTATAAGAGCTATATGTTCGCATGCTTTTAATTGATATCTATAAGAGCTAAATGTTGGCATGCTTTTAATTGATATCTAAAAAGTTTGTGAAGTTTAACATATTGTCATATGATCAGACCTCTTGGAATAGTACCCTAATAAAGATTGTATCTTTAGAAGTAGTTTCCCAGGTTCCAACTAATTAAATATAATGAATCGGAACATGTTAGTAGAGTATGTTGTGTTCGGCATATTTATTCCATTGAGTCTAAAAGCGAACCACATCCGGTTATATGTTCTGATTTTTAAGATTTCTTGACAATACATATATTACTTTTGCATATATATATTACTTTTGCATAAAGTATAGTCTTGCTAGTGCTTTTGCTTCTTGATTAGATCATTGGCTTCTTGTCACGTATTACAACTCTTTCTACCTAAATAGTTAAATAGGTCTATGCCTTCTTGCTTAATGATCTTTTGATTGCACATCCAGTTAAATCAGGGATTGATCCTGACATAGTTTATTTGTGTTTTAATTGGAATATAGTCTCTCCCTCTCTCATGTGCTAGGTTCTTATATTTAGGTTTTTCCCCGGGGAGCTGTAAAGCTATCAATTGCAAATTATTCATCTCTTATACTGATGTTATTTCAACTCAAAACCAATGTCATGTAATATTGCTTGAATTCTTAATCTTGTGCCGTTACAGAGAACAAAGGCCAAACCTTACACACCGATGGGGAAAGTGGTTGCCAGCTTTTAGACCAAGTTTGTTCACTATTATGCTTCATTAACTCTTCACCTTCACAAAAGTAACTGTCAAGTTCTCTAGTATCACACAGTAGTCTACAGTTTTAATGGCTGTAGCATGTAACAAGAAACAAATGCAATTGCTTCGTCCACTGCAAACACCAGAACCTTGCAACTGTAATTTGTCATAGTACCATCAATACAATCACGGATACTGGTGCCTAAAACAGCAAGATAGAAACAATAGGAAAATCCTAGTTATGTATTCGTAGCTCAGGCATGCTGTTAGGGATTCCTAATGACAAGGAGTAACTAATGAGCTTGGATATGATAATAAATGACATGCATTCGAAAATCTCTTCTCAATGTAAAAGAGAAGTAGATGAAAAGAGAGGGAACGAGGTGGGGGGGTGTTGTGGAGCAAGATCCCTGCAGAAGAGAGAATAACAGTTGTTTAACCTTGCTTCACATTAGTATGTCTACTGTAGCACGGAAAAGTTTGTTGAGAAATGGGTTGCTGGAACTTCAACAACTCCTGTTTGAGGCAAAACTTTCTTTTTTGTCATCAATAACTTTCTTTTCAGTGAACTGGTTTCCAGATATGTTTGGCTTATGCATTGTTCATTCATTTGAATCATTTCATCAATCCTGCATCTTTTAAAATTATCTATCTTGATTATATATTATCTTTTGCAATCTTAATGATGCATGCCTCACTTGAACCAGCAGATTTTTTTGAATCTCTTCTCGCAATGAATGTGCAGGATCTCGGATTAAAGACGGCAAATTATCTATACCGCAGTTAGTAGGCACGATCTGGGATGCTTGTTCTGCTCTTAAGAAGACTCCGGCCACAAATATCACGGCAATAGGTCGTGCAATGACACAAGTTGCAGTGTCCATGAAGGACGTTCTTCGTGAAATGAAGGAGCTCAAGCCAGCTTCTGATCCAGCAGATGAAACTTGTTACCAGGCTTCTGTTAAAGCTGAAAAAAGTCCCCATGACAGTGATGATTCATGTGAAGAAGACGATCTAGGCAATGACCTGTCACCTGAAGAGATGAAAATTGCTCAATTGGCTATGGTGGTGGTGTCTGAAATGCTTGTGCTCATAAAGGAACTTATCCGCTCCATCACGGGTTTGCTTAAACAGGAAAATCTAGATAATAGTAGTGATTCCGTGAATGCTCTAGAGAGATTGTTGAAGCTCTGTCAAGAAATTGGAGAACAGGTCGATGAGCTTGGAGCTTGTCTTTACCCCCCACAAGAAGCTCCTGTTATGAAGGCTGCTTCAGAAAAGATATCCAGCATTGTTGATGAAATGCAGGTAGATGTAGAAAATCTAAATGGCTCTTCGGAAGCTTTCTTTCAAGCATGCATTGCTCTAATGAATTCATTAGAACAATTCAAAACTGAAGTAGAAAGCTCCAGTCCTGCTGATGATCTGATACCCAAAATACAAAACCTTGATGTCAACAATTAGCGCTTGTAATGTTCCCAACTAATTCAGTATCGCAACCTGAAGTTGCTGAATTGATTGCATAGTTTTGGCATGAGGATTTTTTTTTTTTTTTTTGTGAACCATTGTTAATGACAAATATTCCATCTTTTAGTTCAGTAATGTTGCTAAATGGTACCTTTTGAAGAACTAATCTGAGATGGTTTCTTATTTATAATTTTTCTGCATTGTCACATGAATCTTTTTACGGCATCCAGTGCCCTTAGAAATCCTTTACAACCTGCTGTATTGATGACGAACATACCCAAAATCCAGATGGCTTGGCTGCGTTGTGTTCACAAGTTTAACCACCAATTCAAAAAGTGTAAACGTTGTATTCTAATCATACATAAAACAATACAGCACTTCTACAAAATGCAAAACCAGTATGAATAATTTCGTTTGCTTTGCTGTCTTCATAAATTTTATGATACATTGGAGGCATTCTGTATCTTGTCTCTTTTTCCCGAGCTATGGGAACTGCACGTGCTCAGAACTTCAGATGCATACGCCATAGAAAACATATCCCAGGTATTGACACATCAGAAAATCAATCACCGCCCTGTGAGCTTTACCATCCAGGCACCACCCAAGTAGAGACCCAAGAGGGGGCCTGCCAGGAGCACCTGGGTAAGAGGGTCAGTGGAAGGCGTGAGTACGGCAGCTGCAACCACGGCACCAACCACAACATATCTCCAAATTGACAGCATCTGGTCTCCGGACACTAAACCAACTTGTCCCAATAAAATTTGTATAACTGGAACCTGTAGAAGAATAAAAATATGTGATTCAGCTCAAAGACGGACGGCAAAATTGTCTAGATCTATTTAGAGCATTTGCACCGAGAAGTTTGTTGTGCAAATTCAAATATCACTGGAATCCTCGACTTTATTTTCCTACTCCTCTAAATATACCAAAAGGCAGGGGATAAAAGTAATGCAGAAAAGAAAATAAGGGCACTCCTTAGACTTGTGACATTATTGAACTATGCATTAGCTTTTACAAAGGCCACTACTAACCATGGGAAAGAAAACATTTTAAACTACCTCTAGCGATACACGTCCTTAAGAAGCCATACTGACATACACATGAATGCAGACAAGATAAAGAAAACTCATTTCATGCAGTAAAGTTGAAGAAGCTTTCGCTTTGGGAACCATTTGATAGGGTGAATATGAAGTTTACTTCCACAGAAGTCTTTAGAGATCATACTGCAGAACAATAAATTGACTGAACAAAAATCTCAAGAAAGGAAAAAAACAATTTAACAGTTGAAAAAGGCTTTGAATCTTATATAGATACGATATTAGAAATGAAATGCCATTTGTGCAGAACTTTTACCTGGAAAGACAGTCCAGTGCTAAACATGAGCACTAGAACAAACTCAAAGTATTGATCAATGGACCATAATGATTCCACAGCCCCTTCTGCATAACTAACAAAGAAATTCAAGGCTGCTGGAGTGAGAACCAAGTAGGAGAAGATAATCCCGGCATAGAAAAGTATTGAAGAGCCTAACACTATTGGACCCAGGAATCTTCTCTCTGCCCTCGTTAAACCAGGAAGAACAAAGGCTATTATCTCATATAGAATTATAGGGCTTCCTACAAGAAGGCCGCAGTATCCTGATACCTGCAGCACATTGTCAAGAGAAATATATTACCATAACCATCTACAATAGCTTTCTTATAATCATAAAAAGGATGAAGAGGCTCAAGGTTGAAAAGTAATGCACATGACAAAAAAAAACTTGAATGCTCCTGGTTCAGAAATTCTAGCCTTGATAACCCAACTTGATAAAAAATCTTGTCAATAATCTACTTAATATATAAGCTTTGGGGTATTTGAATTTTTTTTTTTTTTTTTTTTTTTCAATAATGCGACTGAATATATAAGCTTTATTGCCCAATATGGGAAAGTTGTGCCCCAGATCTGGGCACATAGGAGGGCAATCAATTAGTGAAAGTGATTCTAACTCTACACCAGAAGCACAATGGTGCAAGTACTATAGATAAGTGCTATCAAAACCATAGCTTTAAATTTCCATCAAACCTTCATGAGTTAGAAGTTCGACAAGAAATCTAAGAACTAAAGAGTTTTTAAGATGAGACTAAAGTGAATATATATTATGCAAGAACCAAAAGTTTTGTGTTCAACTCATGGGTGCATCAAGCCTCCGCTCTGTACAAACAGAATAGTTATGTCCCCACACTCCATAATTCCCAAAACAAAGTGAATATATGATACAGGTTTAACAGCACTAGAAATACAAATAAGGATACAGTGAGATAGAAGATCAAAAATACCAAAGAGTAAACAATTTTGCTAAGTTCAATGAAGGGATAGGAAGTAAGAGATTTTAGATGATGTTACTCAAAAAATTTAAGTAAGCCAGTTAAATGGAATAGTGCTTTTGGCAATGCATACCGCGTGATTGACGCATACTTATAAAGTTGAACGCAAAGTTCTCAAAACATATACTAGACTAGACATACACGATGGAAGAGATTGTCGGGCAACTATGTTCTTAAGTGAATGTGATTGAAATACAGATGTTAAGATCGATATGTGGTGAGACAAAAACGGGTCATATTGAAAATGAACAAATTTGTGAGGCAATAAGCTGGTATGACCCCTTATAACGAAGACTAACAAATTATACCAGAGAAGGAGTAGAATAGTCCAGTACTTAGTACAATTTCAGGAGAAAGGGAAGATCAAAATTTCTATGGAATGAGGTAATAAAGAAAGAGACAATAATTTGTGATTTAACTAAAATTACGACCCTCAAATTTCATAAAACCGCCCCCAAAGTTGACAAGCCTTTGTTGAGTTCAGTTGAGTTACCAAACCTTCAAAATCTAATTCTACTTCTGGTGGGAAGTTTTAGGACCAAGTAGAAGTTAAGGAAGCTTCCTATGATGCAATTTCATAAAATTTTCAAAACATCCACAGATTATCTACCGCAATTTACTGAGGAGAAAATTGCAGGCATTTCACATATAGATTCTTTGGGCAAGCCAGAAAGAAATTTATGATTAACCAACATATTTCCTTACAAGAACAGTACGCTCAGAAGGATTTAATTGCAAGCAAAGCATGAAGGAAAATAACGTACATTACACAAATCTATGACATTAAATATATGTTAGAAAAAAAATTAATAAAAAAAACATATGCCAAATACAAAAGAAAGAAAACTACCAAAGCATAATTGAAAATAATAATTATGCACATAAGTCTGTCACAAATTAAAGTTTGTTAATCTTAGCTTATTAACAATAGCTTCTTTTTTTATGAATAACATACCAGCTAGACATGATCATCGGTAATAATAAAAATTGTATGGTAAAGAAAAGTATAATACTATCTACTTGAAAAGCTAATTTTTAACAATAGTTAATCCAAATAGTATAAATTCTGTAATTTTTTTAACTAATTAATTTAAAAGAACAACTATATATAATCTGACCAATGCAATAATTTGCTTTCTTATATTGGTAAATCAAATAATTTAATCAAAATGAACTACTACGAACTAGTTCAACACATGTGCAAGAGAAGGGAGCTGCAAAAGTACCCATACCAATAGTTAGTATTAAATCAAATAATCTAATCAATGATGTTTCTGTCAGAACACATGTACCATGGAAGGAATGACAGAACTTGCACCTTCACCAATGAAAATAGAAACAATATGTGTGTTTGTGTGTTTATATATACACACATACATATATATTTAGAGACAGAGACTGTTTCTATTAAATCCAAAATGCAATGCGTTCAAATGTAGCAGCTGCAATTTCAATCAATCTGAGTAATCAGAGCAAAATTATACCACTATTTTGCATTTAAAATATTCGAAGTGATAAAATATTGAAATTGAGGATAGTGAACCATATATTATTGAAAAGACAGAAAAATTGTGTCTTTTAAATCAAAATGCAATGCACTACAAGATAGCAGCTGCAGTTTCAGTCAAACAGTGTAATTAGAGTGAACTTTGTCCATCGCATTTTAAAATATTCAAAGTAATAGAAATTGAAATTGAAGAATATGAAATGTATGATACAAAGACAGAATATAGTTTTATTAATTCATACCTTCAAAGTTGTAAAGAAAAACTCGCCAGGGGCTAATTGCAGAAACCGAACACCCTGTTCTTTAACAGGAGCTTCAAGAACAAATATCAGTTCCTTTGAAAATGCAAAGCATCCCATGATGGCAGCTCCAACCGCCAAAACTGACACAAAGATTCTCTGCCGTAGCTCCTCAAGATGATCATATATACTCATTTCTTTATCCTCAGGGAGGAGCTCTTTATTGGGATAAAGAAAATTATAAATAGCACTATCTTTGTTCTCTGCATCATAATTTTGCAACATATCTGCCCTTGAACCATCAGCCACATCTACAACAAACATGGTTAGAATCAGACTGAAAAACATGCAACTACACTCTTTTCATAAAATAAAGAAGAAAGCAAAAAATTAAATAAGATAGAAAGGCCATGTAACCAGAGAGAGAGAGAGAGAGAGAGATCCAATATCAATGCAAAAATATTTTCTATACATGTAAAGTTATACTAGGATATAAGTTGTCCAATTCAGAAATCCAATTACATAGAAAAATAGTCAAGGTTTATGAGATGGATCCAAGTGATATGAGTTTCTAACACGAGATGAGTAAGACTATATAATCATGGAATATAAAAGACACTGAAAATCCTATGGTCATTTGGTATTACACATCAAGAAAGCAGATGCTGGAGATAGGTCATGAACCTAGACTACTACTACATTTTTGCTGCTATTGTTTTGACATATGTCAAGATCATAGAGTTGCATGATTGGACTTATATTTTGAACAGGAGATCCATAGAATTTAGAGTAAGCTTTCGCCACATAAATCGCAAGCCAGAACTCCTCATTCATCTCATACCATGAAATTCATGGTATTTGCCAATTTTCCATATGTATGACACCTGTAAATTAATTAGTAGTTGAACCTTGCTCCCAGCATCATCCCTCTTTGGGATGGCAGGAGATATTAGATACTACTCAACTCAGGCTAATAGCTTGTATGATGGAACTAACATAAAAAACAAATGCAACAACCTTGGCAAAACAAGAGTACGAGAAGAGAATATGAGGAGAGAACACAAAAGAGGCCAACCTTTTTATATATTTGTATTTTCCTTTTCATTCCTTTTCTTTTTTATAATCCCTGAAAGGATCAAAGCCAACCTGTTTATATTTTGCTCTCTGTGGTACGCCCAGTAATTGCCTTAATATTAATCAGAATTGCTGATTTTATTTAATAAGACTCTAAGATTCTGATGCATCAGATAAAAGAAGAATACTTGCATGGAATATCACCTCTCTCTCTCTCTCTCTCTCTCTCTCTCTCAAACAGCACACTCTTTTAGTGACTGGTCATTATTTCTAATATTTTAAATTCTTATTCCATTGTGAGGATCCACAATCACGGATGTTAAGGATCCATACAAAATGTCTTATACAGAAGGATCAAAATTGTACTAAAGTTGGCTTTTTAACAACGAAGTGTGGTGGTTTGGCGTCTCATTCCTTGAGCTTCTTCTAATAAGTCTTGGGTTCAACTCTATGGGCCCTTAGATATGCTTAGCTTAAGTATTTTGAAGGAAATAACTTAAACCTACCAAACTTGAAAGAATATCATAGCTCCGAATAACTCAAATGCTAAGAAGTTCGGAAACTTCTAAGGACGAGTTGTGTCCGTGATACTTATCATACACTCCTGGATACATGTACTTAAAATAAAATTCTTAATTTTGGACAATTGGCGTACACTTCTATGAAATTCACCAACATGTGACCTAATAAACCTTGATCTTGATATATGACTTCCTTTCAGAAAAATAAAATTAACTAAATTATTAAAATCTATAGAAAAGTTGGGCCATATTTAAAACCAAAAGTAAAAAATTCAAACTTCCTATTAAAGGATGAGAAACGAAAGAAGGCAAGGAGTCACATAATTATGCACATAGACATTCATAATCATAGGCAAGGTGCACACATATACCCTGGATCCTTACAAAGCCTCTAGATTATTATGGTATGGAAGTTGTAAGGTATACATATTTGATTATCATAAAATAATGTTGGCAATATAATTTCATATAAAAGGATATATCCTTATCACCATGTTGTATATAGAGACCTAGCTTTTTAAGGATTTTCACTATCGTCATTTGTGTGGTGTACATGTGTCCCATATCCCTATAACCCGGTTGGGTCATACATGCTTTATCTGGTTCACATCCTTGAATGATTAGAATATATAGTTAGGCCAGTCTTTTTTCCAGCTCAGCAAGCCACAAGGTCGACCAGCTAGGACTGGCCATCTGTGACTTGAGGAACTATCTATTTCATAGGTCTGATATCTTCATTTTAATCTGTAATCTTGGGACCCTTGTGGATCTGAAGGCTTTAACATCACTCTCAAGGCCTTTCACGGAAATTCAAGGTATTACCAAGTTATTTGTCCATTTTAAGTTCCATGTTCTTGGTAACTCATTTGAATTTGTTTTGACCTGGGAACTTAACCAACTCCATGTCAAGATACTATTCTAAACAATAGCTAGCATTTAAAGGTTTCAGCAACAGGAAAGACAGAAATATATCATTATCTAGAATATATATATATATATATATATCATGTATAATTTGATGAGTTTGACGCTAATGTCACAATCCTTTAAAAATCTATCAAATAAATTAAATGACTTAGACTTACAACTCTGAGTCATACAAAATATAATGAAGTATTTCCCCCAAAATCATGCCATTCAAAGTGTAAATTAGAAGAATTGTACGATATAAAGTTACAAGAAAGTATGACAGTGCATGCTTCAGAGAAAACATGAAGAACCATTTTGGATGCTGAAAGAACAATGATCAATTACTTGAAGTGATAATATGTAGGATATGACAACTACAATATTTGCGCTCATCTTAATGGTCCTAAATTGTCATTCTCCCTTGAGAATTAATTCAAGTGAACAAAAAGAAAGGGAACTTAATGATTACACTTATGGGATAATCTAGAGACCAGTCACTATGCAAAGGTCTCAACTTTCAAACAAATTAGGGCAATGCCTTTGGATAATAAAGTTAAAGTTAGTTTGTTCTCATGACATGGGGAATACAAGAAAGCATTTCTCTACATTATCTGTGGATCTCTAAAACCAGAAGCAAATAGATCTAACAAAGGGCAAGCTAATCAATCCTCATGTATACAATAATAAATTTCGTGAGAGAGAAAGAGATAACAACTAGGAAAAATTTAAGCAGAGAGTAATAAGATTTATATCTTGTGGTAAAAGCACCAATACATGGTATTACATGATCTGGTTTTCTGAATTGATCAACAAGCAAGATTGAGTGCAAAAGATTAGCTTATTATCAGTGGTTCTATCAATCACACCAGCTGTGTGTTTTGTCAATTATCAGTTGAAGACCACATCTACAGCCCTTGGTTGTTCATTCACTTCTTCTTCTTCTTTATTATTATTATTATTATTTTTCATTTTCCTTTTTCTTGGACAATTTTTTTTCACCTGTAAAGTTTGGACGTCCCTACTTTGAAGACCAGTCTATACTGCCCCAAGGTCATTGGCAGGATACTATCAATTTGGCAGTGGATTTCCTTAAAGCTTAGAAGAAGCTGGTATCTTATTTATTAATGACTTCTACTGCTCATTTAACGGAGGAGAGACGCAACAATATTTTTTTTCAGAACACTTCTCAGTATATTAGATTACAGGCCAAAAGATTGACCTCAACCCGGAGCAGAATGATTATGTGAAGTGTGCAAAGATGTGTCAGTCAGATAAACAGATTCAAAGGGAGTGGAAATCACTAGAGATATCTTATTTGGTAAAATTGTGGTCCTGGTGTTTCTCTGCATCAATTGTATGGGTTATTTTGTGTTGCATCATACATGGATTTGCCAAGGGCAGAATCTATACTGGGTTGGTTCTTTTGAAGGTGATGCTTTTTAGATTTTATATGTAAAAATTAGGGATTATATTATCTACTATTTGTTTCTTTTTGCGTGCTTGAGGAGATGCCATCTTTATCTGTACATAAATGCTTTTTTTCTTTCATAGTGTCGATAAAATTTACTTAAACATGTTGTAAATAAACATCTTATAGAAAATGGATTAGGAATTTCCAAAAAAATGTGGGATTAGTACAAAAGTGATAATACAAGAATACAATATATTGCCTGTATACAGAAACACTAACCAACCCATATCGAGAAATTAATGAAATCATTCAAAATGAAGTGCCAGATAATAATTCACAGTATACACATATCAATATATACATATACACATGAAGAATTTTTTGATGGGTTCGTGATACCTGGCCTATCTTCGATAGCTGAGCCAACACCACCACTAATCAGTTGTTGTTGCTTCTCTGTAACACCATCGTCAACAGCAAAGCAGACAAGCCTACTGAATTTGCTGTAGTCCCTTCTGTGTGAGACACCCAAGTTCGCTCTTCTTCGGTTGAGTGGCAGAGAAGAGCGTTGGCTTCTGTTCGAATTGAGGCATCTGAAGCTGTGGTTGTAGAGCTGTAGATGAGAGGTGAGAGCACTGGTGCTTGTCATCTCTCTGTCTATTTCTTTGGGGCTCTGGGAGCGCTTTCTGGCATCGATGGACGACTGGTCCTTATGTGCCTTGGCGGACGATATTTAGCGTCGCCAGACCTCAGCGCATTTTAGCAAAATATATGCATATTTTGCTTAGAGCTTTGCCACACACCCGGCGCATTTTAGCAACAAATGTATGCATATTTTCTTTAGAACACGTTAACTAATTTCTGGTCTGATTTATATGGTTTTTGAATATTTAACCATTTCTCCGTCTTTATTTCAGAAAAAATCAAACCGCATACATTTACAGGATGTCTCTCTTGGCAAGATAAACTATTAGATGGTTTTCTACTATTTTTAATATTTGGTGGAAGTTTGAATTTTTTTTTAATATATTAATATTTCCTATTTTTTCTATAGAAATTTCTGAATTGAACTATTCCACAGTATTAATGGTTGATGATCATTTAATAATACGTCCTTAGAAAGTTGGAACTCTTAATCTCTATTACTAGTAGGACTAGCGGCCTTATAGTCATCTTATTTATTAGTTCTTCTTAAGAAAAATATAAATAATGTACAAACTTCTTTTCAAAAATTTGGTCTTTTTGTAAACTAGGCAGAATATAAAAAGCATGAATGTGACAAAAAAAAAAAAAAGTGACATTAACGTGGTATGATTAACTTCATTTTTTATAAAAAGAAAATAATAAAGGGAGTGAACTATTAATAGATATTTACATATAAGATAAAACCAAAGATATAAGATAAAACCAAAGATACCAATAAATTAGAATGCAACATTTACCAAAGATACCAATAAATTAGAATGCAACATTTACATGTAGCCTAGTTCCGAAGGAAGTTCATGGTGTCAACTAAAATATTCTAATTTATTTTTCTGGTATTCAATTGGATTGGAATATGTAATATCATAATAATGGTAGAAATATATATATATATATATATATATATATATATATATATTTATATATATATATATATTTTAGTTGACACCATGAACTTCCTTAGGAACTAGGCTACATGTAAATGTTGCATTCTAATTTATTGGTATCTTTGGTAAATGTTGCATTCTAATTTATTGGTATCTTTGGTAATATCTTATATCTATATATATTTATATATATATATATTTACATGTATTTTAAAAAGAGGGTAAAGTACAATGAAACTCTTGAGGTTTGTCATGTTAACAGTTATATACAAGTTGGCTATTTTTTTGAACAATGACGTCCCAAGTTTGAAAAAATTGACAAAAACATCCCTGTAACAACCTGTCATATATGACACGAGGAATTGACCAACTTGCCATTTGATCATTTAGTGGACTTTTTTAACTTTACAACTTAATGTATTGAACCAATCTACCCTTCGTTAACATTTGATACAAAAAAGTTGAAGTTCTTTTGAAATCAAAACGGAGCAAACAATCCACTTCGGATATGGAAAGGAAACAAAAAAAAAAAAAAAAACATCAGCAAACAAATTTTTTTTTGGAAAGTGGACTCATGGAAGTATAAAACTGAACATTTTGGTGATGATCCAATGTCCAGAAGGCTGTCAAATAAATAAATTAAAAACTTGATTTCAAATAGTGAAAAATTAGAGACCGCAGTTGTTGTTGAATTTTTATAAAAATATCTTTTTGGCCAAAAATTATGAAAATTTTCAGAAAGTAACTAGACAGGTAGAGGAATTTTTGGTAAAAATTTCATAACAATCGGAATATTAGAGTAGCTTGGACAATAAATTGGTGCCATTTTGTGGCTTATATTAATTCAAGGGTAATTTCGGCATTCAATATGTCTGAAATGCTAAAATTAAAACTAATTTTAATATTAAGGGGCAATTTCATCTTTTTAAACTATTTAAGGTCTTATTTGGATGACAACTTTCATAAGGTGTCATTGTCTAAAAAAAACAGTTAAACGTGTCATTGCAATTTACCCTTTTAAATAATAAAACATCACACATTCATATATTTTGGTCAGATATATATATAGATATATATATAAAATGTATATGACAACAATATGAACAAGATGTTTAAGAGCATCTCTCACAATTCTGGACTATTTATGTTTAAGAAGATTTCTCACAAATTTCACCATCTACCACTAATCCTATTAGATATATCATAACCAATCTTCTAAGTTACTCCAAATGGCCATATTTATAAGGAAAAGTTATTAATAAATTAACCTCCATCTGACAGCTTCTTACCAAAAACAACAGGTAGATATGATTCATACAAATGTAAGTGGCATTTAGGCGAGTGCAGTTGCCAATAGTCATGAATGTCGCTTATATCCATCTAGAAGGAAGTCCCAACTTTATTCGCTTTGTGTGGAGGAATCACTTTATACGGATCCCGTGGATTCGTCGGGACAAATCCCTTAACACCCCAGTTATCCGAAAAAAAAAAAAAAAAGAGGTTGAAAATGTCAAGAATCATTTACAAGCAGAATGTAAAATCCACTAAATCCTTTGGTTTCACATTATTTAGTCTTTGGCAGCTAATCAGAGGCATCACCACCATCCTATTAGCTGTTCAGAGCAGTGGGAGGGTTTATGGTTTGGAATGGGTTGTTCACTGTTTAGCCAGCTATGTCACACCATTTTAACTCGTTGCTATATTCTAATATTCTGTTTCTAAACTTTTCCTAGTTGTCCACCTCTCTCTTTCTTTCTTGCTTCCTAACTTTTATCGATCATCATTTAATCATGTATATTTTTTTTCTACTTGTTTTATTCTATTTGGAGAAGTTGATGTACATTAGAATTAGCTATTAGTATCTGACCCGGGAATTGATGCAGTGAGATTGGGTTGCAGTGATATGATTACTGGTATTTATTTTTATGGGTGGCAATATTTGATACGACATGCTAACACGATATGAACACAATACGAAATAAGAGGGTTTGAATTTGGACTAATCGTGTTCGTGTCGTAATCGTGTCGATACGGATTGACCATTAACTAAATGTGTCGCGTTACCAACGGGTCAGTGACCTAGCGGTATCAGCATACCGTTCAAAGGGAGGTCAGGAATTCAAGTCTCAGAAGAGACAAGTGTGTGTGAGTACCAACTAGGAAAAAACAAAATAAACGTGTCGTGTTCGCGTTTAAGCTTATAAATACAATTATGACAAGATTAACCCAAACGTGTAGAATAAACATGTCGTACTCGTGTGAAAAGTGACTTAAACGTGTTTTTTCGTGTCATGTGAAGTCTTGACTCATTTATTGAACAGGTTACACGTATCTTGTCGTGTTACACGTATAAAAATCATGTTGTGTTCGTGTCAAAGGTCTTAGACACGATTAATAATCGTATCGACCTTAATCGTGTCGACACGAACACGACATGCCAACGCGAATTGCTACTCTTACCTGATCCCCATGTGTTGCAAACTGCAGTAGCTATTATTTACGGAATAATGTTTTTGATACGAAATTATGAACACATGATGTATGACATAGAACACTTAGTTTCAACCTAAGTTTCTAGGATCCTAACCTACACTTTTTTCACAATCGATCAGAACCAGAAGTCACATGACTCACACCGCTTATTACATAGAATATGTTTCCACATTCCATGATTTTCAACTCCGCGCTGGCACCTTTATTTGGAGCTTCAATTTGCTATCCATGAATTTTCAGAACTCAAACCATGAACAACCTGGGATTCTAGAGCAAATCTGCCTCATGCTCTTAGTATTTTAGCCCATCTCATGCTCGGTTGAAGATGCCTGAACTTTAATAATGTAGGATAGCTCACTAAATTGAAATTCTCTAGGTATCAAATGGCCTGGTGGAGATCTTTCTCTTCCATGTCGTCCTTCCTCTAACGATCTCCTCATATTTGTGCTCCCCTTTAGTTTGGAGGAGATGTGTGTACTTAAATGTCCCTACGTCGAAGGACCCCTTAAGTCCATTGCCCTCCAGAATTCCTGGTGCCACTGAAAATCCATTGAGTAGACTGATGTTTTTGTTTTGCAGTTGGGCTCCATCTTTAAGAATTCCATCATGATGTGGCTCACAGAGGGATTGAACTATATCTGAGCTTCCACATTCTCTTCTATATTCTAGTACAATATTTGACAGTTGATGATCCTCCAAAAACTGGTCAGGGATGGTCTGAAAAAGTAACAGCTTGAAAATTTTAGATTCAGATACTTGCCAGAGCTATGAAAATCGACTCGAGCCAGGAATCATTGTATAGTTTTTTTGTTTACCTCGAGCATCCATCCTACATACTTCACATTGTTTACATGGTGGTTCATGTCCAAATCACCCCTCTTCGGCTGTAGGTAAAAATTTACACTAATCAGAAAATGTGTGTGTTGCAGTACTATGTGGGAAGTCAATAGAAACCAGTTTTACCTTCAAATCAGAGTTCACGAATTTCGCTTTTTCATCCAACTTTTCAATCTTTTCAGGGGCATCTTCTTTGATTGCTTGCTTGTCTATGAACCAAGGCAAAATTTCAGCTCTCACCTCTTCTGGCATTTTCGAAAGTCGCCTAGTTTGCTGGTTCATCATCACCCAGGTACTGTGTCACATGTTTAAACCATTAGTGCAAATGTAAATGATGAAACCCATGATTGGTATGTATCCAGAATAAAACAAAAAAAAAAAAAAAAAAAAAAATACTTGACATGAGATTGGAAAGATTACCTGGTTGCACGCGCGAAAACATGGCCTGTGGCATGACTCCGAATCAGCCAGTCTCGCCTCATGCCATTCTTCCCTGATGCTCCAACCCATGTGTCGATTTCCAGTACTTCACCCCTGTGGAAAGCCCATTAATGTTCTTTAATATTAGAATTTAGAACAACACTTGTATATGAACAAAAACACCAAGATTCTTGCAAACCAATTCTTACTCTAGATGCATATCTAAGCTGGTAGATTTGTTCATTTTAACCTCAGCACAACGGCTGCTTTTCAATATATAGAGGGATTTGTGATCATTTCATTTAATTTTTTTCGAAAATGTTAAAACCATGATATGAACTAAGTATGATTGAACTTTTCATCGACGCAAAGATTCTTGCAAACCAAATCTTACTTATTGTCTGGATACTACTATAGATGCATATCTAAGCCTGTTGATTTGTTCATTTTAACCTTAGCACAATGTCTGCTCTTGAATATATAGAGGGATTTGTGATCATTTCATTTAATTTTTTTTCGAAAATGTTGAACCATGATATGGACAAAGTGTGATTGAACTTTTTATTGACATAAATGGGATGCATAACCCCTGTGATATGACTTGCTAAGCTTGGCTGTGTTGTTTAAACCAGTAATGATGACAAGAATTAGAATTGTGATGGGAGGACTAACCAGATTGGATAATGATCCACTTGAACTTGCATTCTGGACACTACCCATATGAGATTGTTTCTCATCATCCCATGTGTGGCGCCAAATCCATTGCCAAGAAGTCCGGACATCCATACATGATTTAGAGCTGTTTCCTGCATGTTTGTGAACACTACTAATTATGTTCTGCATATAGCTGCGTTCCAATAGACTTTCACAATGAACTATTTATGTGCGGTTATATTGAGTGTTTTTTTGAAAAAGTTCACCTGAAGGAGGTTGAGGATGCTCTCTATTGTTGCAGTTTTGTCAGGACCAACTTCATAGGACCGAGTAACGACAGTCTGCCGGTACCCAACACCCTCTTCAATGATGAGCCCTTGACGAAACGAATCAACAAACTGCTTCTTTGTCGGAATATTTTGGCGAATCTGCTCTGCTGTAACGTGGCCATTTTCAGGCATCGGAGTTATAGACACCCTGTTTACTTGGCTCATCACATTGACCTTGGTGGTGGACACACTAGAAGCTACATTGACTTGGGTTTTATTCAGATTTTGCTTCCCAGGGTCATGGCTATCTCTGGTGGAGGAACATCTGATGGTACTGTAACAGACAAGGTAAGAAAGAGAAGACATTTTTTTTTAATTTTTATATGTATTTTTATTTGTGTTTAGACTTTAGAGAGAGTTTGGAAAGGGGATTTGTGTATGGAAATGTTTTTATAGTTAGTAATGGACGAGAAGTTCAATGCAAAATTGTGAATTGAGAGGACAAATAGAGGGAATTTTTGTTGTGTAATTGGACATATCAAAGGGTGTTTTGTGTCTGCCTTGGAAGTATCTTTAGTCGTGATCGACGGTTGAGAAGGGACAAAAGGGTTGGAAGTTTATTTTTAGCTTCTTTTTGGTGTGTAAAGTACTAAGAATTGGAAAAGTTTTTTGGTTCTCTGCTCTGTTTCTCAGGAAAAAAAACACTTTGGGTTTGGACTTTTCAAATTTGCCAACTATTTGTTTAAACAAACAAACAATACATGGTGAGAGACTTTCTCTGTCTCTCTGGTCTTAGTAAAATGTTAAAATTACTTTGGGAGAAGGTGAAAAAAGATTTGTATTGTTTGGATACAACTAGGCATATATAGCACTCAATGTGAGACATATACTCCTACATCCCTTGTCAACAATTCTTCTCTTCAAGTCTCAACAAAAGGGTTTTTTGGTATTTCAGTTTGGTTAAACTAAAAATGAATGTAAAAAATTTGATTGATTCGTGTGATCTACTGTAAATGAATTTTGATATCAAATTTTAACAATTGTCATACAATCCTCTTTCAAACGATTATGTACACGTCTCAATATTTGTACATGATCACAACAAAAACACAAATAGCTTCATGTCATGAACTCGACCTCATGGTAGTGTTACTCGTGTATGGGTAGTAACATCACTCTGTGTAGTGAACATCATGATATTGAAGCTCAATTTGAGTACCTAAACTGATATTAGGTTTTCATGTTGAAAAAGATTAATGTTGCGTTTTAGAGCACCAAGTCGGTCGAGAAAATTTTGTTAAAATTTTAAAATAAATTTCTTTCAATTTCAAATCCAAATAACCAATTCGATGCTCCAAATATAACCTAAGGTTTCTTTATCCTCTTGATGCTGTGAAACAAGTGTGATGTCTTATTTTAACCTGAATTGGTCAAATATTGAGACTGTTCCATCAGTGTAAGTTGATCACAAGGGAATTGTTTTGTTTGAATTGAAATGGATTATTAATAAAAACACACTTGTGGCATATATATAAGAAATTGTTCTTGTTTTTTTATTTTTTTATTACTACCATTTCTTTCTTGTCTTTGAATTAATTTTAATGATTACTTGTTAAATATGCTGAGGGCATTGTCAATTATGTTGGGAATTAGGGTTTGAGAATGCTTTGTTAGGAGAGGACGAACAAGCAAGTCAAATTAGTTTTCATGGTATCTACAAATTACGTTGAATTGGGTTCCCCCAGAGACATAGTAAGACAATAATTCTTTGTTCTCATTTTATTTTTATTTTACCTATGATAGAGAACTTGGATTTCACCTCAATGCATCACATAGCAATATATATATATAACAAAGAGATACACACGAAACTCAACTACGTAACTTTATATGAAAGGTAGACCAGTTAATTCGCGTAGAACAGTTGGCCTGCTCTTGCATTTACCGGATCTGCTACCGTGTTAACAGAATTTTAGAGTCTTGAGTGAACATTACAAAAGAATAGTTGTTTTGTTTGCAACAAAATTCACTCCTAGGCATACAAGACATGCATTGAAGAGCTCAATAATTGTTCTGTGGGGATACAATAACAGATACTAGTTCTATTCACATTAAACTTACATATGAAATCCATAAAAGATGCCAAAAACCACCTGTTCATATGAATAAACAATGACAAAGACTAGATCTATTTACATTGAACCTTCATATTCCTAAAACATGAAAGATACAAATTAAAACCACCTGTTCTCAGGTATAACAATAACAAAGACTAGTTCTATTCACATTAAACCTTTTTTTTTTTTTTTTTCGTTTTGGCATATGATAAATGAAAGAAACTAAAGAAGGAATAAGTAGTATTTCCAAAGGAAACTTCAGTAGCTTGATCCTCTTCAGCCAAGAAGATCGAACAGCCTACTTTTGGTCTCAGTTTGCATGCAAAGGCTGCAACATTCTTTAGGGAGAGAGAGATTAGTACATACTTCACTGACTTAGCAGAAGATCATCTTCATCGTGGTTTCTCTTCTCTTTTCTTCATCAGAAATTGTTTATTCATCATCATTCCACAATGCTATTCCCTGAATTACTGTAAAACGAAATATTGCATTAGCTGTCTCAGCATCGCTTATGGTAACCAATGGGTCATTAGCCCATTGCAATAAAATATCCTCGCTTTGGGGGGGTGAGGTGTTGGAACCCCGTAGAGGGAAAATTGTGAACGTGTATGAGTACTTAGCTAACCAAAAAAAAAACATCACTTTAGGTAATTGCAAAACAAACTTTTAGCCAAATATAAGATAATTGACCATGAATATTAATTCAGCGAAATTATTGTTTATATCATCTCTTATGAGAAATTCATGACATTCCACGGTTACCTTTCTTTTCAGAATGGTTCGTAGATAAGAGTCATGAAGGTCTGTGACTTGCTGCAGTGCTCCATAATCATCAAGATCAGATACTTCTTGTATCCTCGGCATGCTTATGCGTCCGGATGTGAAAGTCAGCAGTTTGGGGCATCCGTGCAGCCTAACTTCTTTAACAACAGAAACTGAAAAGCATAATTTTCCCGACAAAATTACAAGAGATTGGGCAGATTTTCAAGGTGCAGCAACTCTAACTGAGGGAATCTAATTTCCTCCATTGCACTTATTTCTCCTTGTTCTTGAGGTCTAATTACTATTTCTTTTATAACATTACAACTCCTAATGTCTAACACTAGCGGAATTGTTGTTCCCCACTGTAGTAGCTACTTTTGGAGCTACCTTCTCGTCAACAAGATACGGCTTCCTGAAGAAGGCATCTCATTTTGAAGCTCTGTGCAATCCTCTCAGAAGAGGTGACTATCTAAATATGCATGGGGGTCATTTTGAGTCCCAACGACAAAGGAAGTGGCTAAAGACTTCTTGCCATTGAGAATGAGAATAAATATCTCAGACGTTTGCAAGATTTCAGAGTTCTTCAACAACCTCAAACCTCAGTAGCAGGGTACAGACATCTAGGTCAGTGCAGCTGTCCACCACCAGGACTCCTACATTGCTAAAAAGGCTTGCAGGGTTATTAAAACCATGCCCAATATCTTCCAAGATGCTTTGAGAGTGCCAATTCTTCCTGCAGAGACCATTCACTATGTCAATCATGTTACTATGATCCAATGGAAAGTAGCAGATAAACAATTCCATGCAATCCAGCTAAACATTTGCCATGGACTTTGCATTTCGAAGTGGAAAATTTTGTAATGAAATAGTGATTTAAGTTACCAAGCACAAAAATTCTACATGGCAAATCACCACCTGATTTGTTGCAAATGAGTACATTTAGCCACGAATTATCTTTTAGGCAAGTAAATTGTAATTCATCACGATTTCTTATTTCTCGAGATGGACAAGTGTTATGTTTGGCAATGCAACAATTGACAATGGCAAGAAATTTAAGTTGAAAAGGTGACTTGAGAATAATTTGTAAGTTGGAACCTTGAAAGTAGCTGAACTTTGACTGTGTGTAATTAAGGGATGCCATCTTTTCTTAATCTTGCCAAAACTGTTCAGCAGAGAAAGGTAAGGCAAGATTGATTTTGGTGAATGATCAATCTCTTTCTCATTGACATCTGCATATTATACGTGAATAGACTATTGTGCTTACCCACCTACGGTGATTTATACATAAAGCGTAGCATTGAAGGATATACACTATACAATCAAATACAAAAATCGTTGGGATGTTATATGAATTTGTAACAGATATGTCGTGTAGGGGGTTTGTTATTGAGAACTCTAAAACCGGAAGGGAGTTTGAGAATTCTTATGGTAGGAATCATAATCAAAATATAATCCTGATAATGTCATTTTGTGGATGTATTTGTGTTCAAGTCGTCTATTTGGGATGGGTTTTGGATTGAAAAGTTGGTTGACTGGGATAATTTTTGTCAGTGCATAGTACTTGTTTCGTAAAAGGCCATCGAGGGACCCCAGACCTGGAGGATCTGGCTATTATAACAGTTGACAGATAGATGGACAGAATGAAACATAATTAGAAAATTTCCCATTGTGATGTTAAGAGTTATTTTGGTAGCTGAATTATTCTGTGCTAAATTTGATAAGAGGTGTTTAAAGGGGGAAAAAAAGTAACTAAAATTTTTTTAAAAGCATCTTGGGAATCCATGTTTTCCAAGACATTAGGAATTTTCATTTTATTTTGTTAACAACTATTTACTCCAGAAGCTTAAGCTGTTAGAGAGGGTGTAACTTTAATATTTATATCCTTCAACACGCCCCCTCACGCCTGGCCTTCTTTTTGGTCCAACACGTGTTTTTTCAATTTTAATTTTAAGGGTGACGGTGAGGTTTGAAGTTGAACTCAAGACTATTTGCCCTGATATCATTTTAACCACCATCTACTCTAAAAGCTTAAGCTATTAGAGAGGGTGTAACTTTAATATTTATTTCCTTCAACATATTTCTCAATAGGATTTGTTATGAGCTTAGATAGTTGGGTGGCATTTCTAAGCCTATCCCCACCCATTATGTAAAGCCTCATTAGTCCTACATTGAGTTTGGTGTGGTACAACGATCCATCAGGCGAGGTTGCCTGAATGGGTAATTGAAAGTTGAAACTAACATATATCAACTACAAATTTATGATTAATATTTTGAATACCTGCAAAAGGAGGGTTGCAATTGGCTTACAAATTTGTGAGCTTGGATAAGTAGGAGAGATTTGCATTCCAAACGTACTGATGATTAGATCCTCTACCCAAATGCATCTTGAGAATATTTGAGTAAATGCAAGGGCATTTCATTAGGTGAAGCATTATGTCAGCATATGGATATTTAGAGAAATGGGGAAGGGGCAATTGTTTTAGCGTCCAAGTGCAAAATTTGTTCAGGGTTTCAGTGAGCGCAGATAAAGTTAATTCAAGATAGTAAGTTCAGATTAGGGACTTAGGACATCCGGTGTAGGCATCAATTTTGGCATCTCGTGTCAGTAATGCTAGCAAATGGTCATGGTGTGGAGCTAGTTAAATGGTGGACTCCACAGAAAAAATGTTAGCTGGTGTGTTACCTGTGGCGAGCCTTGTTGCTATTGTGTGTCGGTCCCACTTCAGTTTTCTCTCTTTCTCTCTCTTTCAAAATCGTGAATCCTATACATTAATAGCAATATCTTCCATTACCATACCAGCAAAAACAGATACTTATATTTAGAAAGAGCCACATCAGCCAAATGGGCTGACGTGGCTCTCAATAAAAGTTCACATTGCCAGCCAAATTAGATGTATTTTACCGGATGCCCTTAGAACATATGAATATTGACAGGTAAAGGGATGGAAATGGCAACTCTATGATTAGAATGGGGATTAATATAGCATGCCTATAAGAAATTAAGTTGGTAGGGGAAAAAGTTAGGAAATGTACAAAAGATAAACTTTATTCACAGAGTAATTTAAAGATGATTCTAATCACCAAATTAAAGCATGATGGGTTAATTGCAGTACTTCTGGCATTTTGTGTATAATTGTATACCTCAAAATTGAAAACTAAATTATATTAAACAGCTATTAAACCAGTCATACTTGTTTAATAGAAAGTTGGGTATTAAAAAACAACATAGTCATAAGATGAGCCTGGTGAAATACAAATGTTGAGATGGTTGTCTGGTAAGATAATAGAAAAAAATGAAGTGAAACGGTTGAAGTAACACTACCCGGAGATAAATTGTGAGAAAATTGATTAAGATGGTTTAACCATTTACGGAGAAGACCAGAAGGGCGATGCAGTCTATAGTGATAGTAATGTTAGGAGAAGGAGGAGACCAAAAGAGATAGTATGGAAAGACCTGACAACATGTAGTTTGACTATTCTTATGGTCATGATAGAGTAGTATGGTGAAACAAAATTCAGGTAATTAATTCCAGGTAGTTGGGAAAAGGTTTTATTGAGAAGTAGAATTTAACTGAGTGTCTAACATATGTAATTGCTCATTTACTATTACATATGCATGCAGGTACTATTAGATGTGTTCTTTTGGTTCTTAGGCTCCCTTGCGTTTGGATTCAGTATGGAGTCTTGTGTGTAAGTACTTGTCTAAGTTATACATCAAGTTGATCTATTGCGTGTGTGAGTTATCACTACTGCATATACAAGTTGTATGTTCTAGTGGTTGTTTATGACCAGAGGTTTTCTTTTTTGACATTGCTAGGCCAAAAAAACAGTTGTTGAAAAGGTAGTAAACCCTTTTTATCAAGAGCATTGAATAAATCTGGAGAACACAGTGAATATCTTATATTATCTATTACTATCATATATAATATTTACATGTTATTAAAATATTTTTTTATCATTACTTTTTTTTATTCCCTCTATTTTGTCACTTTCTTTTTCTGCTCTTTTAAAGAGTCAAATACCTAATTTTTACTCCCTTTTTTATATATATTTTTTTTCTTCTTAGACTTCCTTTTTTTTTTTTTCTTTTTTTTTTCTTTTTTTTTTTTTTTTTTTTTTTTTTTTACTAATCATTGTTTGCTAACCACTCTTGACATTAATTTTTTTTTTTTTAACAAAAATTGCATCCTTAATGGATCGGGTTATCAGATTGGATATCCATTATCGAATTGACTGATCGGCTAGAACTCAGATCGAATTCAGTACGTTTGCCAGCCTAATCCTTGATCAGGTAAAAGAAGACACTATTTTGTGTTGAACTTTTAAGGTTTTTGTAAACTTGAATTTAAATGAAGCAACACTAATTGTTTGCGGAGCATGAAAAACTTAATTTGTAGCAACAATTGTCCCACCTCTTAATACCTAGCTTCCATTAATCTCTTTTGTTCAGAGTTATAGGGCATACATACCTTATTTTTGAAGAGGTCTTGCCCTTTGGAAATGTCCTCTTTTTTTCTTCTTCTTGTTTTTTGGATGACTTTTCAAGTCTCGTAGTCTTTAATTGAGGGAAAGTGAGGACCCCATCACTGGCCGCTTCTTCTTTTTTACAGTTCATCAAGTTAGGTAGTTGCTGTAGCCACATTTCTTGTAATCGAGGGAGTATGATTGTTGCAGACCCCTTTTTTTGGTAACAAACATTTCAATTGCAGATATAACTGAATCACACCGCTGAAGTATTTCCAGATTCTGTAACCTTGGGAGCACATATGATGGAATCAAGTTCTCCAGTTTGTGACAATGAACCATTTCCACGTGCTTTAGGTGCTGAAAGGTGTCTTCTGCTTCCAGGAATACAAATAATTGGTTCTCCCATATTGCTGCAATCTTTTCCAATTTTCCAATTGTCAATTCCTCCGAGGCAGGGAACACCACCTGCAAAATTTGATGCATTACATTTTCTTAATTAATGATCATGTATTATTATATATAAATGCACTTTTTCCTTCCAAGACCTTCCAAACCCACTTCATCCTAAGAAATTTGAACACATCAATTCCAAAACATTCTTTAGAATAAGATAAAATTTCAGTATTTCTGGGAAAACTATAGCACAACTGATTTTTGCTGGACATTTAAAGGTCACTATTCTTATTCAAGCAGTTAATATGAACTATAATATAATCTAGAACTTGCAGCATGTTCTTATGGCCTCTCTACTTAAACTTAGTTTGAGTGAATAGCATAAAAGTATTAAACTTCTGAAGCCACCTTCTCTTATATGTTTATAATGGAATTCCTGCCTTGCTTATAACATGAACTGAGTCTTGTACTATCTGTTTTCACTCTCTCTATAATATAATGTATTTCCGCAATTGATGCAGAATTCAACCCTCTTTACCTGCATTTGCGCAGTGTCAGATTCTAACAATGTATTCACTTTCTTGCTATATATCATGGCTTATCTCTTGATGTGCTCTTAGACTCTTGCATTCTTCTTCTTCTTTTTTTTTTTCCTTGAACGAGCTTATTAATGATTATTATTATTATTATTTTATTTAACTTTTACTTTTCCTGCGTCTATTTAGCATCCTTGTCTTTATGACAATTAGCATTTCGAAACATTTCATGGCTTTGTTACCAAGCCTTGTTAACAATGCTAATGGAGTCTTTGGCTCAATGTTCCTCAATACCTTGTTAGGCACCTATATATTGAGGAATTTTTTAATAATTGTGGCTCCAACTTAATAGAGTGTTGGCAATTGCTTTGCTGAATCTTAAGAGAGATCAGGCGACTAATGGCCTGGGACAGGCTTTTTCTTTCTCCTCTTTTTTAAGAATGTCTAACGAGATCTGGATATTGTTAGAAAGAATAGATGCAAAGGTTAAAATTTTCATAATACCCACTCTCAAGTAAGTAGATGGATGTGAATTAAGGTGCTAATTCCAATACTAATAGAGAGTATTGTGTATTACTATTTATTAGCATACATATTACATAATTATGTAAAGTTCGTAGTAATGAATTAGGAGGCTTTTGTTTTTTGGATACGTTGTAAAAACTTTACAGTATTACAGCCAATAAGCATGTTTACGTGATTGATTGTTATCAACTTGATAACAATGGAGTTATGTGGGATGTGCGGTTTAGGCAGCCCTTTCAGGATTGGGAAATGGAGGAAGCTTGTGTTTTTTTGGATACGTTGTATAGACAGAAGGATGTTGGCAGAGGGTGTGATGATATTTTGTGGGTTCCTTTAGCTCATGGTTGGTATGGTGTCCGCTCTATGTTCATCTGTTTGTCCAATTTCGTTGGTCCTGAGTTCCCTTGGAAGTCTGTCTGGTGCTCTAAAGCTCCTCTTCGAATCGCATTCTTCGTTTGGACTGCTACATTGGGGAAGATTTTGACATTGGACAATTTGAGAAAGAGAGGCAACATTATTGTTAATTGGTGTTGTTTATGTAAAGCTGATAGTGAATCCGTGGACCACATTCTTTTGCATTGTCCTGTGGCGTTTGATTGTTGGAGTTTTATTTTTAGCATGTTTGGTGTTTTTTGGGTAATGCCTAAGCACTCCTCTCAATTGATTAACGCTTGTTCCACATTGTGTGTGGTGGTGCTTGTGGCGTGAGAGGAATAACAGATCCTTTGAAGGAAAAGAATCGTCTTTAGCTACTTTAAAAATTCATATTCTTCGTTCTCTGTTCTCTTTTGTAAGAGGAAGTGCATGCTCCTCAATTGATGATTTTTTGATCTCTTAGATTCCATTGGTCCTTGGACCTTTTTTTTATTGTATTAAGGACACGTTCCCCTTTTGAACGTTTTTCTAATATATTTTTACTTATAAAAAAAAAAAAAAAAAAAAAAAAAAAAAATGAATGTAGGAGGCTTTTTCTTCTCTTTTCTTTGAAGGTACTAGGTCTTTTCATAACTGTAATAGGGATCGAGGACTTACCTTCTGATTCAAGTAAAAAGCTCATAGAGGATACACTGTTTTGAGATGAATTTTTTTAGGTTCTGGAAACTTCCAAGCAATTTATGTGAAGCTTTGTGGAGCATGAGACGCCTAATTTGGAGCATCAATTGCCCCATCTACCTCTTAATAACTAGCTTCCATTTTTTTTTTTTTTTTTTTTTTTTTGTTCGAAGTTAGGGCCTACATACCTCTATCTGATAAGGCCTTGTACTTTGGGAATATCCTCCTCCACAGTATCTTCGTCTCTGGATTCAAAACGGCAGCAGAAACTATTCAAATTTGACGAGGCTTGTACTTTGGGAGTGTCTTCATCTGTTGTTTCTTCTTCTTCTTCTTTTTTGGATACACAACTGTAGCAGAAATGTTTAAGATTTGCCAACATTTCAAGTCTCATAGTCTTCCATTTAGAGAACAAAGGATCTCATCATTGACTGCTTCTGCTTCTTCTTCTCCTTGTCTCTTGCAACCATCTATCTCTTCCATCTTCTGACAGTGGCATACTTTAAACATCGGAGTTGAACAAGATTTCTTGCTATGGACGGCAGGATTATCGGGATTATATTTCTCAAACTATCACAACTAAAAAGTTTGAGAACTCTGAGCTTTAAATACGAATGTAGTCTGTCTGAATGTTTCTCTTTATTCAACCCTGTCTGCATCAGTTTAGGTAGTTCCTGTAGCCACATTTCTCATAGTCGAGGGAGTATGATTGTTGCTTCTGCTGGTGCAGATCCTTTTTCAGTGGTAAGCACTTCAACTGCAGATACAACTGAAGAACACCACTTAACGCTCAGTATTTCCAGATTCTGCAACCCTGGGAGCACAATATAGATGGAATCACGTTTTCTAGTTTGTGACAATTCTGCACCTCCATCTGCCTGAGACACTGAAAGGAATGTTCTTGGAGGAGTAATTGGTTGATCCATATCACGGTAATTCTTTCCAAGTTTATAATTTCCAATTCCTCCAAGGCAGGGAATGCAACCTGCAAAATTTGATACATTAAATTTGACAATATAAGAACTGGGGTTACATATACATGTATTCTTCACCAACTGGAAAACGTTCTTTACATCAATTCTAGAACATTCTTTACAAAGGAGATAAAATTTCAGTATTATTCAACCAAAAAAACTATAGGAACTCCTAGGAAACAGTCTAATGGCAAGGCTCTCACCTCACATCTTGGAGGTTGAAAGTTCCAATCTCCTCCGGGCCACCCCTAGGAAAATTTCTGGTAATTGTCTGGTGAATGAGGAATAGGGGATTGCATGTGCCCAGTGTTAGACTATGGGATTCTCTAAGAGGCCCAACACCACTATTGTCAAAATAAAAATAAAAGCATCTATAGCACAAAGTTAGTTCGGAAATGCACTGTCCTAACTAACAGTGAGTTATTTCTTCACCATTTTTTTCCCAGTTATTTCTTCACCATTTCAAAACCCCTAGCCTCAGAAAGTCACATCCACCAATGAATTATTTCTTCAATCCACTGTCCTGTCCTCACTTTCTACATACGAAGACATTGCACCATCGTGACAGTCACAGTCGTCTTCTGATCAATGCTTGGACATCTCAATACAAACAAGACATAATGTCTGGTAGATTTAATAAAATTGAAAATATTTTCGAACACCTTTAAATTTTGATCAGTTAAGTTTTGACTTTTATATTACATCATAAAGTCCTTTTATAATTTATATTGGAATAAGAACAAAATTGCATTTGCTTTTGGATTAAAATCTTAGACTTGATCCTTTTAACAACAGGACTACCCATTCCAATTGTTTTATGCATTATTTTCCCTTTATATATATATTAAGTATCTGCTGTATTTATATATGCATTGCAGTACCTCTTTCACTAAAAACATTGAAGATGTAAATTATCGGTAAGCACCTAGTTAAAACAATGAAGAATGAAATATATAAGAATATGGCCCTACTCTAAGAGTAGGCACTTGGGATAACTTCTAAATCAATCACTTCACAATAGGTATCAAAAAGAAGAATATCCAAATTGAGATTATAATCAATCACTGGTCTACCTTTGTCCCACGGGCTTTGGGTCCTAACTCCAAAGTTCTAGGTCAAGGTTTGGAGACTGATAGAGAGAAGAAAAGAGATTATAATCAATCAATCCTCACTAACTAAACAAATATTATCCCAGCTAACTTGGCAATAAAATAAATAAGAGTAAGGATGGAGAGCTTACTGCAGTACAAAGAGATCACAGTTGTGTCTCCACACACTACCGTAACGTATCAAGAAACTATGGAACTTATTAAAGATCTTACAAGTAATACAACTAGGACAACACTTATGATCTGAATAATCCAACGCATAAATTTCTATATAAATGTGGATTTTTGCGCTTGAAAATAAAGAGAATTTGCATGATAAGCTTCTCAAAGACAAAAGATTATGTCTCAATAAAAAAATCAGCTTTTTTATGGATGAAAAAAAATAATAATAACAGGTACAATATCAAGCCTTGAACAGCATTTGCATCACATAATGTTGAATATAACACAAAAGTTAAAAAAAGTATTCATGCAATTTATGATGGAAACTGAGTTGGTACTTAAATACCATCAGGAATCTAAAAGCAGCTTCACTACAACTGAAAAAAAGTAGTCCTGCAAATTATTTCTCAGTTCAAACAAAAATTTTCTACGACCCCCAAGCTTTTCATGTTTATCTTTCACCACCTCCTATCTGTGACGACCTTTGTGAGCGGGTGTGATGAGGGCGGGTGTGGGACACTTTATTAACACACAAATTCATCAACCCAGACCACCTTCAGTTATTTAAAGTCACATTTGCTAGACTACTATCCATGCCAACTAAAACTGCTTAACTGTGGGATTAATGTATCATCCAAAAGGAGATAGAAGGATTACAATTCTTGGCTTGTCATCGTGCAGCCACCACCATTTCTTTTTGGTGGGGTTAGTTTTAAAAGATACAAACACGGATTAGAGCAAGCTGAGAGGAATTTTTGTCAACAAAAAAAAAATGGTATCCATGAATAGGCTAGTATTACATTATAGAAGAAGATTTTGAATTACGATTGATCACACAGAAAGAAACTATGCAACACGACAAAGCCCCATGCTGGTAGACTACAGGGCATCATGATCCCACATCGCCTGGGAAAGGTGAAGTATTATATGCAAGGTTCAACACCATTCTATGACACAACGCGTTTTAAAGCCGTGATAGCCATGAACCCATTAGAACTCCAAAGTTAAGCGCGCTTACTCTGGAGTAGTACCAAGATGGGTGACTTGGTCCGGGGGAGCCAAAAGCTTACAATATTGTGTCTGGATAGGGTGAAGGTTATTACAAATGGTATCAGAGTCGAAACCCAGCCGGAATTGTGGCCAACGAGGACATTGGGCCCCATGGGGAGTGATTGGGGCGGGTGTGGTGTGGGCAGGTGCGAGACACTGGACGAGCTACCACACTGGCAGGCTACAGGGTGTTATAATCCCACATCGCCTGGAGAAGGTAAAGTGTTATACGTAAGGTTCAACACCCTTCTATGACATAACGCATTTTAAAGCCGTGATGGCCATAAACCGACCAAAACTCGAAAGTTAAGCACGCTTACTCTGGAGTAATACTAGAATGGGTGACCTCTTGTGAAGTCTCTGGTCTAGGGGAGCCAAAAGCGGACAATATTGTGTCTGGGTAGGGTAAGGGTTGTTAAACCAGCAGTTCTATTGACTCAATTTATCATAATCGAACTGAAACCTTAGCGAAAATTAGTTTTTTCAAGCTAAAAGAACCAATCATACATAGTTAAAGAACCCTTCATATCACTTAGGTTTTGGCAAGTTGAGCATTTACCACAAAGATAACTAACGTTTTTTGAGTCCTTTATATAATTACACAAAAGAAAAATTTCTTCAAGAGATATGAAATGCAAACCAGTTATATACTTCAAGTTCAACAAAATGGCTACAACTACATAAAGCTAGTGTGAGTATTTCAGATACAACAATCTTCCCAACAATATTATGAGCTCTTTACGCAAATTGGAATTATAAAGCTATATATGTGTGTATAAAGGTTTATAAGAAATCAAGAACATATGAATAGAAGGAGGAATAGACAAAGAAGAAGTACATGGAATCCTTCACAAGATAAAGACAATCACAAGAACAAAACATAGCATAAAGAAAACAAAACCACCAAAGAACAAGAAAATATTATACTGACATGCTAACATAATAAATTTCCAGGTAGTCAAGTTATAAGATATTACTTTAGCAATAAAAGCATTTCCCCTGAGAGAGAATGAAGAGCAAAATTAAGATTGAATTGTATTTTAAAAATGTGAAACCCCCTAGTGAAGAGGCAAATTGTCTTAATTTCAATTTCATCTAAGGAGGTTCTTTAATTGTACGAAGATCAGCCTCAAAAATTTAAACACCCCTCTCCTCCCCCTCCCTCAACCCCCCCCCCCCCCCCAAAAAAAAAAAAAAGGAGAGCGAGAGAAAGAAATTAATGTTATGATTCCATTTACCAAACTGAACTCACTCTACCTTTTGGGGAAACACAAAAAAACAGATTAAAGAAGATAAATAGAACATAACTAGGATCCAATAATATATGGCAAAAGATAAATGAGTTGCAATAGAGAGAAATGACCTGAAAATGAATAAATCAATCAAATAAGTTTCTAAGTCTGATTTACTGGGGAAGGGAAAACATACCTCTATATTAGGTTGCCAAGAGGCCCATGAAGATGGGGACAAAGAAAACAAAAATTGGAGTCATACAACCACAATTTTAACTCTATGTAATTTCAACATTCCATAAATTCAACATCTCCTTTTTCCTTTATTTTCATGGCAACCAAATAAAGAAAAAAGAGAACCTTTGAGAAATTAAAGGTTTTTTTTATTAGTTTCATCTCCATCATCTACGAAGCCTTGTACCTTCGCCAACAAGTTTGGAACATAGTATATGTTACCCAAGAAGACACAAGAAGGCTTGGTGAATTAAAGGTATATTCCTATCAACGCGTTCTTGATAGTCATCATTTTGTCAATTGGCACGTGCATGAGTACCTACATCTAATGACTTGTATGAAGACTGCCTTCTCCAGAATGGCAGGCCTCTATTTCAGCTGAGTCTTGCATCAAGGAACTCCAGATAATATTCTAGAGAGCCCGTGAACAGTTTTTGTTTGAAGCAACCATAAGGTCAAATGGATGATTCAATAAAAGAAGATCAAGAAAAAAATGAACAGAGGTTACAGCTGCCATAGCACAGTGGTTAGGTGTGGTGACATGACATCTAAGGGAGGGATGGAGTAAACAGTTTGAACATTACTGTTGATCAAATGAAAACTGGAAGAGAGAGAGAGAGAGAACTCCGGGTTTGCTTCCCACTTAGCCACCCGCAGAAAATAGGAGTGAAATTGGTGTCACTCTAAAATTGTGAAAGTTGTTGAATTGCAATTATAAGCGGTATCATGAGACCATTTCCTTCCATTCTTTAAGCAAGGAAGAAAGCTCAAGATAGGGGCTATAAACTAACATATATATCAACCATTCTTAAAGCAAGACAAATGGGAGGGCTAGCTTACTTGGTCAGAAGCAATTTTAATAGTAAAGCACCTAATGTACATATCAACCACCCAAAATGGAAAAAGAAAGAAGACAGCCCATTAATTTTATAACAGGAAAAATCAAGTAATAAAGGGCAGTAAATAATTTGTGTACAGGCAACGATTGCAATTATCTAAAAATATATATATATATAAAATAGAATAAAAAACCTACAAGTAATACAGATATTACACTTGACCAATATATTGGTACTTCACTCTTTTTTTTTTCTTTTTTTTTTTTTAATTTTTTTTCCGAAAGATGGTTGGTACTTCACTCTTTCACAAAATATTACCATTAACTGTTCTTGTTGTTGTCATTGTCATAGTCAGTGCTCAATAACAATATTAATAATTTTATTTTTATTTTTATTGTCTTGTGCTTATCAGTGCAGTTATTGTTGTTAAGGTAAAATGTCTGGTGCTACAAAATTAAGGTTTTCGGGTTTCCCTGCAGATCTGGGGAAGTTCCAGCCTTTCCCAAATAGTGGGACCAGTTACATGAATCCTGTTTTTTTTCATTCTACTCTATCTAAAACCACAACCTCATTCAAACCACATATTATCATATCTTTCCTTACTAACTCCATTCATGTTAATTTTGCACTTCCCTTTCCCTAGCATTACTCACAATGTGGATGGGCAAGGTAAAAGCATAGTCGTATAAAAAAATAAAAAATTAAAAAGATAAGTAAAACTGCAGTCAATTGAATAAATCTTGTTTTAATTACAAAAGATGCATGGAGAGATTTTTCTTGTTAAGATGAAATATGATTTACTGCACGTGTACTCACTTTAGCAGTCATATTTTATATGCTGTGGCATTAGATACCATGCTGCCACAGGATGACTGTATTAAATGTTATTTACAACTAAAAGGATCTTCCCTAGCGTATCAGTTGATTTTGAACACATTGCAATATCAGGCCTTGATGTGCGTTTGAGGGAAGGGGGAAAAATGCATCAAATATTTATACCTGGATTACAAAGAATATTCATTACAACTGGTACATCAAAAAGAAAAAATCAACCCACTCCCCAACAAAAAATAAAAGGTAAAACAAAAACTAATGAACAAATACATACAATGTTGTCAAATGGTTATTTGAAACAACTTAATCCAGTCATGAACTTCATTTGTTTACCTGTCATTGAATTTTTCCAGTGCATAGAAAACGAAGCCAACCAGTCAAATAGTCAATGACACCAAAGGATTGTTTTCCATCTCTCTTAGTTGTGCCCATCAGTAAATAGAACACAAAGGCTTCCCAACCTCTTGAACAACCAAATTCACATAACTGCATCTTCATATTATAAAATAAAAAAAATAATAAAAAAAAAGAGAAGAAACAAAAAGCGGGAATATCAGAACTAAGAGAAAACCAAAATGTAATATTTGATCAAATTAAAGAGTACGTATTCTTACCTGCTGACTCATCCAAGTGAATCTACCAACCAGTCTCCGGAGTAACTTAGTAGTGAAACGAAACCAATTTCTCGGAAAACAGATATTCCACTGTCTTACAGATCATTTGAGAAACCCAGAACACCATCAAAGGCTTTATGAAGCCTTTGCTTCAGCAGATTCTTCACCACCTAGAATTATGTATTTAAGGTACTGGACTACATGCAATTTATATTCTTTGGAAGTGCAATGTGTGTACAAGAATCAGGCTGAATTCCTCTATCTAGCATTTGCTTATACAATCTCAAAACCTCATGCCAATAACCCAAGTCGCAGTTCTCATTAATTAATATAGTGTAGGTAAAATATCTATAAGCCTGATCCATTCTTCGCAATTTGCATAGACCATTCATTAGCGCATTGCAGGTGATCACGTTTGGCAAGACACCCTTCTGATGCGTTTCTGAGAAATATCAGCATGCCCATTAATTAATACTGTGTGCATCACAACTGACGGGGATAAAAGTTTGATCAGCATCTCATAGAATAACTCTCTGGCTTTTCTAACATACCCAGTTTCCAAGTGAGCATAAATGATGCTAGTATATGTCAAATGATCAGCCTCACACACCCACAGCGACCCCCCCCCCCCCCCCCCCCCAATATATATATATATAGTATGATTCAATTTACCAAACCATTATTGTTGTTGCCGTTAAAGTAATTACTCATCACCAATATTTAATGTTGTTGACGTTCTTGTCATTATTGTTAGTTTGTTTTGGTCTTCCCTTCCCTAGCATTGCCTTAGATGAGGCCGAGCTTTTTTTCTTGTTAATATCAAATATAATTTTCGACATGCACGCACTTCAGTAGCATTGCCAGTTATTGTTGTTGTCGTGAAAGGAATTACTCATAACCAATAATAATAATTTTATTTTTTATTGTTATTGACATTGTTCCTATCTTGTTGTTATTATTGTTATCATGGTAAAATATCCGGTGCCATAAAATGAAGGTTTTTAGGCTCCAGTAACAGATATGGGGAAGCTCCAAACAAATAATAATAATAAAAAATAAAATGTACTCATATATGGCAGGCAAGGTGCAATTCAACTAAAAAAAAAAAAAAAACCCTTCTCCACTCTACTCAAAGTGGGATATATAATTTTTATTTTTCCATTATGCTTGATTTAAGGCAATAGCCTCAGTCAACCCGACATGTTATCATATTTTTCTTTACTAACTCAACAAGTGTAAATTTTGGTCTTCTCTTGCCCTAGCATTGCCTTCAATGAGGACAAGCTTTTTTTCTTGTTTATATCAAATATAATGTTCAACATGTACACACTTCAGTAGTCATGTTTTATACTCGGGCTTTTAAATTTGCTTAACAAAGAAAAGGATCTTCTCTAGCCAAACAGATGATTTTGAATAAATCGCAATGTTTGGAATTGTCATGGGTTTGTGGGAAGGGGAAAATGCATCAATACTTATACCTGGAATACAAAGAATATTCCTTACAACTGATACATCAAGAAGAAAAAATCACCCACCCCCACTTCCCGTCAAAGAATAATGAACATGTGCATACAATGTTGTCAAATATTTATTTGAAACAACTCAATACAGTCATGAACTTCATCTGTATACCTGTCATTGAATCCTTGTAGTGTATAGAAAACGAAGCCAAGGATAGAAAACAAAGCCAACCAGTGAATAGACAAGGAAGCCAAGGACTGTTCTCCATCTCTTTTAGTTGCACCCATCAATGAATAGAACACAAAGTAGTTATTGGCTTCTCAACCCTTGAGCAACCAAATTCACATATCTGCGTCTTCATATAATAAAAAGTAGAAGAAGAAACAACATGCGTAATGCATCAAAACCAACAGAAAACCAAGATGTTCTATTTCAATCAAATAAAAAAAGTAATAGTTCTTACCTGCTGGCTTGTCCAAGGGAATCTACCAGCCAGTCTCTGAAGCAACTTGGTAGTTGAATGAGATTAATTTCTCAGAGAACATTTATTCACTCTCTTACAGATCATTTGAGAAACTTAGAACACCATTAAAGGCTCTGTGACGTCTTTGCTTTGGCAGATTCTTCACCACCTAGAATTATGTATTCAAGGTACTGGACTACATGCAATTTATAGTCTTTTCCGAGTTGCTTTAGAAGTGCACTGTGTGTACAAGAATCAGGCTGAATTCCTCTATCAATCATTTCCCTATACAATCTCAAAGCCTCCTGCCAATAACCCAAGTCACAGTTCTCATTTATTAATATAGTGTAGGTATATTTATTTGGGGATATTCCTTTACTTCCCATCTCAGCAAAATATCTATAAGCCCGATCCATTCTTCTCAATTTGCATAGACCATTAATCAGCACATTGTAGGTGATCACGTTTGGCAAGACACCTTTCTCCTGCATTTCTGAGAAATACATAAATGCCAGTTCAAGCTTCCCTTTACGGGCATGCCCATGAATCAATACTGTGTACGTCACAACTGATGGGGATAAGCCTTTGCTCAACATCTCATAGAATAACTCTCTGGCTTTTCTTAGATTCCCCATTTCCAAGTGAGCATGAATGATGCTAGTATATGTCACACGATCAGGAACAAGACCATCACGAACCATCCTTTGCAACAACTCACATGCTTCTTCCAAATTGCACAACTTAGAAAGCCCGTCTACAAAAACATTATAGGTGATTAAATCGGGAGGGAACCCCTTTGCAAACATTTCTTCCTGCAGATTAAAAACACTGGATCTATCACCAAGCTTCACTTCACCCACTATTCTAGTTGTGTATGCAAAGTGGTCTGGCTCCAATCCTTTATGCAACATCTCATTGAAGAATTGCTTAGCCATTGGTAAATTCCCTGACTTGCAAGAACCATTCACTAGAATAGTAAAAGTAAAAACATCAGGAAGAATCCCCTGATTGACCATTTCATCTTTGAGTTTACTAGCATCCTCCAAATCCCCCAGTCTGCAAAGGCCATCTATAATAGTATTATAGGTGATCACGGTGGGAACGAGATTCCTACACCTTAACTCATATAGCAAAGGAAAAGCCTCCCTTATGTTCCCCAATCGACAGTACCCATAAATCAAAGTATTATAGGAAATTATATCAGGTACCAAATTCTTATCAAACATTTCAGAAAAACGTTGTCTAGCATCTATCATTCTTCCCCACTTGCAAAGTCCATACATATATGTATTATAAGTAGACACAGTAGGAGAAGCTCCTTTAACCACCATCTCGTCCCAAATCCCCAAAGCCTCAACAAGCATCCCCTTGTCACAGTACCCATGCAGCAGAGGGTTATACGTGAATGCCGAAACTTTCAATCCCAAATGTAACATCTCTCTGATCAATCCCCTAGCTTGATCGAATTCCCCTTTCTTTGACAACCCATTAATCAACACATTATAGGTAACATCATTTGGAGCACACCCTCTCCTCTGCATCTCAAGCAGAAGGTCTAGCGCTTGTTGCACTTTACCTTCCTTGCAAAATGAATCCAGTAATGTATTATAGGTAACAATGGTGGGCTTAATCCCAATCTCACCCATCATCCTATACACTTCCCTTGTTTTATTCACCAAGTCCTTATCTCTAAGTATCCTAAGAATTCTATTGCAATTCTTTACATCTGGGAATAACCCATTTCTTACCATCTGATCAAAAAGTCTCAAACATTGTTCAAGCATTGATTTTTTAAAGTACACCCATAACAAAAGATCCAGTAACTTAATGGAAACACCTGAGTCCACAAACCCATCAATCAAAACATCCACAATTCCATTCAAATTCAAACTAATTGCCCTCTCCATCACCGAATAAGCCGGTCGCATCAAATTACTTTGAACCAGAATATCAAGAATTGTACAGAAAGCAAATTCCGAGTGCTTAAACTCCTGTTGACCTTCAGCCCATCTGAAGAACCGAAGCGCTATTCTTGGGCGCATCCGAATCAAATTGAGAACTCGTATGAACAATCCTGGGTCCAGAATTAGAGCTCGAAAGTCTTCCGAGACTACCCAGTGAGTGTTGGCAAAAGCCCAGGGTTTTTCGTCAAAGATTTTGAATATTTTCTTCTGAAAATGGGTCTCCGAGTGTGTTGCTGTTTTTGTGGTGGTGTTTTGAAATTCACAAAGAGAAGATGAGAATATTAGGCGTACCTTGAGAGAGACGAAGTTTCTACCAGTGCTGGCAATGGATTTTGAAGCTCTCACACAGAGGGTCATTGAGTGATGGTACAGTATGAGCCACACATGTGCGAGGTAGTGAAGCTATTGCCGCTAATACAGAGGGTTTTGTGTTTTGAGCGCCTTCACAAATAAGCAGACACTACTGGCGGCGTTCTATGGTTGGTTTGATCGCTCGCCATGGATCCGTTTGCGTGAGAAGACCGGAGATTAAAGAGAGACTAATGGGTGCGACTTGACCGGGGACCCGGAACCTATGCACTTTGGATCCTGTACCATCCACTACACCCTAACTCCCAATCCAACTCCCCCGTGATTTTGATCCGAATTCGATCACCGTCTGTGTCTGGCTTCCGAATTAGAATGCCGTGTTCGACTCTCTCCTCCCCCTTCTCTTTTATTAAAAATAAAATCCAAATATACAGTAAATTTTATTTACATTTATATATATATATATATATATATATGCAAGACTCCAACTTTGGACTTTCTCGTTTAAAAATGAAATCTTACTCTATCTACATTAGTGCCCACTGAAAATTTTCACTTTTTATTAGTTTTATCGTTAATTAAGGTCCTGTTTGATAAAGTTAAGGTTTTCATTTTTTGCTATGATTTCATTTACGTGAAAATGGCAAGTTTTGAAAAGTTGTAGTGTCATTTCTGTCCAAACTAAAACACTTTTGCTAATGTACATCTGTTAAATTTTTTTTAAAATAAAATATATTTGGTAAATTTATTTTTTATTTAAAACGGACTCTTTTATTTACTATTGAGTATAATTGAAAAATAATAAAATAATATTTTAATTACTATTTAAGTATAATTAGAAAATAATAAAATTGACTCTTTTATTTACTATTAGAGTATATTTGAAAATAATAATAAAAAATTTTATTTAATATTCAAGTATTATGAAAAATAATAAAATAATTTTTTATTTACTATTCAAGTATAATTAAAAAAATAAAGAATTGACTCTTTTATTTACCATTAGAGTATAACTAAAAATAATAAAAATATATTTTATTTACTATTCAAGTATAATTGAAAAATAATAAAATAATAATATTGACTCTTCTATATACTATTAGAGTATAATTGAAAATTAATAATATAAGAGTAATATTTTATTTACTATTCAAGTACAATTGAAAAATAATAAAATAATAAAATTGACTCTTTTATTTACTATTGAAGTATAACTAAAAATAATAAAATAATATTTTATTAACTATTCAAGTATAACTGAAAATTAATAAAATTGACTCTTTTATTTACTATTAGATTATAATTGAAAAAATAATGAAAATAATAAAATAATAAATAAAGGTGAAAAGTAATTTTGAAGTTGCGGAAATTGTGAAGAAAATGACAACTAGTTTTCAAAAATTTTGAAACGTGAAAAGTCAAAATAGAGTTACCAAACGGATTTTGTTGTCATTTAAAAAAAAAAATGAAAACCACAACTGAAAATCAAAAGGGAAAATATTACCAAACATTTCTTTTGGTCATTCTCTCTCACTTTATTTATTTATTTTTTTAATTTTTTTAACAGAAACTACAAGATTTAACAAATTATGATATATGTCACACGTAAAATAAATTACAAACTCATACATGGATTTGTTGGATTCAATATTATTTTAAATTTATAATTAATGAATCACAATCGAATTATATGTATTTCATATCCTATTAGACTTTGACATTTCCATAATTAATACTTTTGTAATATATTTATATAAAAAATGCAACATTTATCTAACAAATTACATTAAGTTGTAAAATCATAAGTCACAACTCAGATGTAAAAAAATTGAAACTAAGGCTCCATTTGTTTGGATATAAAATATTTTTCAGAAAATATATTTTTTATTTTTTAGTGTTTAGTTGTCGTAAAATATTTATGCAATAAAAATATATTAAATATTAACAAAAATGATTTATCCATTAATTTTTGATAAATTATTTTATACGTCCAGCCCAAGGCTCGTACTTAGATTTTTGCCAAACACCAAAAAGTACAAATAAAAAAATATATTTTACTTAAAAAAATAAAAATATTTTCTAAAAAAAATATTTTACTACTATATTTGAATAATTATATTACGTGGATAAGTTCATCAAAATGGTAATTTTATGTTTTAATATAGTATCTTTTATAATAATATTATGTATATATTCAAGAAAAAAATATAATATATACAACATTTAGATTTCAGCTTTTGCATTTAACAAATAATCTTAATGAATTTAGTGTTAAAATTAATACAATAGCAAACAAGTTTACAGATTAATATATTCAGTACTTAAAAGTTCATTGCTTAAAATTCAGTACTTGAAATTTTCAGTACTTAATTTTCAATTCCATCAAACAGCACCTTAGTCTAAATATGTTCTGTGCTTGACACAATTATAATTCATAACATGTTACAACTTATATAACTCTTTTAATAAATGAATATTGTGGGTTACAAAATAACAAGACATAATTTATAACTTATTTAACCCGTTTAAATTAACTAAATTTTGTACTGTATTTATTAACTCAAGCATAAAATGCAACTATAATGAAACAAAAATGACATATTGAATAAGAAAATTTTGTTTAGTAATTGAGTTAAACAAACATTTGAATTGATGATTTATTAATTATATCTAATTGAGGTCAAATACCAAAGAGATTTCTTTATATGGTGATACTATGCAATCCATACTATCAATTAATTATATTCTGTCATATAAATAAAAATATTTTATTTTAATAAATGTTATATTATTTAATAGATTAGCGATATCATGTTATTAATAAAATACAAATAATAAAGTATTTCTTATTAAATATTTTGAATTACAAATATAACCTAAGTAATGAGTAATATTATTACCAGAGCAAGAGATTTGTTGAACTCTCTTTATTTAATTACAGGATTAAGACATAATTTTTTGAGATATGTAAAAAATTTGATTATTTAATAAATATTTCATTCATTGATGCGAGAGTTTGAGAGGTTAAGTACGAATTCAGACAATTAACACCGAACGCCGGTTAAATTCGTGTTGGGTTATTAATTTTGTCCCCCCACTCACCCGTAGTAACCCCGCACTATATAATCTGTAATTAACCTATCTATCGTCTATTTCCCGCCATTGTTTCTCATCAGTGTCTCTTTGTTAGCAGGAAAGCGAAAAAGGGAAAAATCAAATGGGACGAGAAAATCCAGCTAAAGAAGCCTTAATCCTCCTTCGAAGCAGGCTATGTAACCCTAATTTCATTTTTAAACATTTCTCCGACTCTCCCGGCAGCAATTACAGGTGCAAGTCCCTCTTTGTATACCTTAACCCTGTTTGGTTGCTGAGAAAGTGTTGCAAAAGAGAAGGATTATCTTTCTCAGAAACCAACCGGGTTAACCATTTTCTTCATTATTATTATTTTTTTCTCTCTTCCTCCTTTTCCGCTTATATGATGAGTTCATATGTTATTTCTAATTGATAGATGATAATGAATAAATTGAAGGGTTTTTTGTTTGCAGCAAGTTGAAGTTCATTATATCGAGTTCAATCACTGAGGCATGTAACAATTCAGTATTGCTTCTTGGTCCTCGTGGTTGTGGAAAAACTCCGGTAAATTGTTATTTTAGTGTTTTATTCTTCTTCTATATATATATATAATTATGTTTTTTTTTTTTTGTTTTTTTTTGTTTTTATTTGGCTGTTTTAGGTGTTGGAGCTTGTTCTCGAAGATCTTTTGAAAGAATTTCCTGATATGGTATCTGTGGTATGGTTTTATAATTCAATTATTTCCGCTATCACTACTTTACCTGTTATCATGGTTTCGTAATACAAATAGTTTTGGGTGTTTTAACCAGCAACCTTAAAGAATTGTTTTTTAAAGGTTATGGAATGTTGGAATGTTCTCATGGAATTGAATACTTTGATCATTAATTATATGCTAGTATAAGAAAGTTTGATTATGCTTTTATTGGCATCAAATGGGTTCTTGGCATTGTTACATGCTTAATAGAATCACTGTCTTCATTTGGCATTAACTTTGGTGATTGCAGTGATGTTTCCATAATGCACAGTGGTGCTGTATGTCCATGCGCAGATTCAGTTTCGTTGTTCCATGCAAACATTTTACTTGTTTAATAACTTCTGTGTTTTTTATTTTTATTTTTTTTTATTATTATTTTTTTATATTAAGTAATCTTATGGTGGTTTCAGATCAAATTGAATGGGCTTTTGCACAGTGAAGACAATTGTGCACTTAAGGTTAGACTTCCCAAGTCCCTTTTACTTCCTTCCCTCAATTGTCTGGTAATCATTTTTCTTTCGGAATCATTTGTCTAATTAAAGGGAATTTCCAAGTTGTACAAATTATTGTGGTATTAAACTAATGAAGCACACTATGAAACTTTTGAGGAGAGTGATTCGGTAGCAACTAAGACCATACATGCAAGTATCAGAAAATCAAGTTGGTTTTATTCTGGAGAGGCTAAGTTCAGAATCCATCTATTTACTAAGGAGACAAATTGAACAATGGAGAGAGAAGGACCTTCTTGTGATTTTCATGGACTTTAACAGAAAATTCTAAGATAGAATCTCCAGAGATATACTAATTGCCACTAATATTGTTTTAATTGATGAAACTAAAGCAGGATAAATGTTAAGCTAGAGATTTAGTGAGCAGCTGTATAATCAAGGGAATTTAACATAAGGAGTACCGAGATAGTATATAAGGATTGTAACTTTAGTAAAATTAGGAATGCAAATGAAGATGTAATGAAGGTTGTAGGTTAAGAGATATACCCAGTAACAAACAGTTTATTACTAAGGCTTGATTGTTTATAGGCAGGAGAGACTATACATGATTTTACTCATACAATTAAAGCAAAATGGGCTAAGTGGAGATGTGATTTGGGCATATCGTGTAATCAACATATCCTAAAAATCCAAAAGAAGATTGTATAATACAGCTTCCAAGGCTGCAGTATTTTATGTGAACAAGTTAGGAAGTTAAAGCAACATTCAATAAAGTGAACATGGTTGATATATAGATGTTCATAGTATACGTGAAAAGATAAGAAAGGTAAAATTAGAAGTGAACAAGAATGCTAGACAGTAGAGCAGAACAAATTGGAGATAAAATAAGAGAATTAACCATGATGTTTTAAGCATGTCTTTTATCCGTGAGAAAGAGGGTCATGATTCACATTAAGGGTAATGTTAGGAATGAGGATAAGCGGAAGACCAAAATCAACCTAGTTTGAGATAGTAAGCAAAGATATGGTAACGTGTAACTAATCAAAGTTATTGCTTAGAAAGAGCGAAACAACGAACAAGAATCATGAAATCTGCTTAAACAATTGGGGCAAGACTTTGTTGAGTTAATTGAGTTAGGGATACCCATTAACTAAAGTTAACCTTTGATGTCTAGGCTGTTCAATACATTTAAGGAAAGACAAACTGTAGTGGGTCAACTAATGGCTTATAGCACGGAAGTACCTCAGTTGTTTTATCATGTTTCTGCATGTAAAAAATCTATTTTCAGAGATTTTTTTTTCTCTTTATGTGAAATTCAACTGGAAAGGTTGCAAGGTTGCTTTCCATATATTTTGGAAGGATAAGTGTTCATTTCCCTCTCTCTTTCTGTATGTGGCTTACCAAGATTATTTGATTGCTCAGGAAATTGCTAGGCAGTTATGCGTGGAACATCAATTGTTATTCTCAAAGATGGTAATGTGGCCAATCTGTTGCTGGTTCTGATGATGCATTTGGAACCTTTTCTTCTTCTTCTTCTTCCTCTCATATTTTTATTTATTTATTTTATGGTATTCATGATCTTGAGATGATTTTTGCAGGCATCATTTGATGATAACTCTCAGTTCATGGTATCCATGTTAAGGTGAGTGTTTTAGCCCTTTTGGTTATGTATTCTTTTGTCATTCACAAGTACGATTTAACTCTTGTTGATATGTGTAATTATTTTTGTTGCTTTGTTCAGTTTCATGATATAGTTATTTGTTTTTTGTCACACATATACTCATTTGTGATAACTTGTCACCAGGGAGTGTGGATTAGCACACAAAACAGTTATTTTTGTACTGGATGAGTTTGACCTCTTTGCTCTGGTAAGACTCATTCTTTTCCCATTCCTTGTGTCTCATTGCAGAAGTCTTGAAGTTTGACAAACTCACTTTTTATATTTCTTTTTCGTTCTTCCCACTTTATTTTTCATTGCTAGTGTGTGTGCTTGAGAACGGCTGATTACTTGATGTTATTGATATAGATGATAGGTTTGGATTCCTATATATCCACTCGTGTGGTGTTTCATTAATTATATGATATATATATATATATATATATATATATATATATATAAGATCATTCTGTATATATATCATCATCTACATCTAGAAAGCCGTATGCTTTAGAAGAAACTTGTACACAAAAAAATTCATTTTTTAAGTAAATTAGGGCCAACATGGAATATTCAGGTTATTGAAGACAGAACTTTTATTACTTAATATATACTCTTGAGTTCATATTTCTACCATTAGTATCATATTTTTCTTCTGTCTGATTTTTGGCAGGGTAAGCAACGGTTACTCTACAGCTTACTAGATGCAATGCAATCTGTAACATCACAAGCTGTTGTCATTGGTTTGAGTTGCCGTTTGGTATGTTGCTTTGAACTAATAATTTCCTTTGCCTTGCTTAATTTAATTCTATAATAAACACAAAGATGCATATAACTGGCATCTTCAGGGTACGGTTAATGATGAATTTCAAATATATTGGAATGAAAGTCATTGTGCTATAGGTTGGTATTAAACTTTGCGTTTAAACTGCTGGGAGTTGAGCGAAATTGAAAATTTATGCTTCATCAACTTGTTTGGGTTCAATACTTTGTCGGTGTTACCTGCACTACATTTGGATCACATTTGAGGATTCACAGATTTCTAAATGACTTGAAATGTGTGAAGAATGCTGACAAATCAGGCTATATGCCCTGCAGGATGCTGATCAGCTTTTGGAAAAAAGAGTAAGATCTCGTTTCTCACATCGGAAACTGTTGTTTCTTCCTCCCTCAAAGGATGATTTGCAGAGGTAATTTTTCTTTTTTCTTGACTTAGCGTAGCTTCTGTGGTTTATGCCCCAGAATCGGATGTTCTAGATTTTTCTCTCTTCCTTCTCTTCTTTCCTGTAAGTTGAACATTCTAGATTATTAAATGCTATTGTGCTGTTTTGTGTGTGTGCTGGTCATGCAGACTGTTGGAGCACATCTTATTATTGCCAACAGATTCAAGCCTTCCTCATGACTACGTAGTCGAGTTTAATAAAAAGATTCTCGTATCCTTTCCCTGATCAATGCAAAGCTTTTCTTTATTGCACAAACACATATCTGGGGCTTTGCAGTTGCATACCTTCAGTTGCATACCTTTTAATCATTTTGGGAATAAATGTCAATTTTATTCTTTACAAATTAGGATTTTTTCGACCTTCACTTGTACCAATACAATAATTTCATTTCAAAAATTTAGAAGTATGAGCTTCAGGTAAGAACTTGCATAGAAAAATTGATGAATGAGTTTATTCAGTAATTTAACCTGGTTGGTTTTAAAGAGTATAGGAAAAGCAAGACTCAGACGAGCATAGAAAGAAGACTTCTGAGCAAAAAATTCATATCATTTCGAACTTTCATCTACGCATCTGATAGACTGGTACTAAATGTATCCATAGGATGAGAAAAAATAGTTTCAAACACATCTCCAATTCTTCTTGGATACTCTAGGACACATTTCTCATGTCTTGAACTATGAGATGCGGCATATGTAGTATTGTATCATAGTAAAATTGTTAAGAACTTGCAAAAAGAAAAAATAAAAAAGTGTGAAAAGTGTAACAATAATTTCAAGTACCTGAATATTTCTTAGAGATGAAAAATTGAGGTATGAATCGTATGATGAGTTTAAATCATGCCAAATTTAGTGCTAAGATCATATTCTTGCTTTATAGCCCTTACTTTTCCCATATGAATTTAACATATAAGTTAAAACTATGGAGTATATTATAGATTCTAGAGTAAAATAAAATTTTAATGTATCTTAGTATTCAAAATAGGCATTTAACTCGTTTTGAACCCATAATGTAATAAAATTGAATTATTGGATATGATTTTTTTGGTACATGTCAACCAAATTTGATGGGCACTTATCCCATGGTCTTGTTAGGGTGAAGAGTGTCATACAGGGGTATTTCACATACATTTGAAGGGTCCATGTATCATGGGACTACACTGAAAGGAGGGTCTACATGGTTTGAAGGAAAGTGCTACAAGGACAAAGAGAAGGCAGATCAGCACTGAAGAGGTGCTTATCGTTCAAGTGGAAAGCACTACAAAGTGTCGACTGTCTTCTTTTATTTATTTTATTTTCAATGGAGAACCTAGGAATGATTGACCTATAAGGAGCAGACTGGTGAAAGAGGAAGAGGATTAAAGTCTTATCCAATTGCTTGATATTGACTGCACGATCCTTTCTACCATCTTCCGACATCTAAAGATTCTAGGGCCACGCCCCTTCCCCCCTCCCCCCTCTTCCTCAGTACTGATGTAATTGTATTTACTGGGAAAAAACAGAATTTAGCAAAAGAGAAGACATACAAAGAAGAGAAAGAGATTTCTTCAGAAAGAGAAACTTTGAAGCTGCAATATAGAACAGTAATAAACACTGTTCTCTGCCTAATATAATCCTCTTCAGGAAGCACAACACATAGCTAAATCATCTGCTCCTTCACTGTCCATGCGAGGAATCTAAAACTTTCCTTCTAACAGCAACATTATTGTCTTTAGTACATGACTGGAATTCCATTGACCAACTTTGCCATTTTTACTCTACTCAAACATATTCTTGATATATTCTCTTATGCAATTTGAGATGCCCCTACTTTTTGCCTCGTTGAGGCTACAAAGAAGTGCACCTACCAGGGATGGAGCCAGAAATTATGCTCAGGGGGGGCATAATGTAATAAAAATTTTTGAGGCAGGGCAATTTTAAAATTTTACAGAATTATATAAAAATGATTTTTTTTTTTTTTTTTTTTTTTTAAGTTTAGGGGGGAAAAAATTATACAAAAATGAAAATTTTTAAAGTTGGGTGGTGGTGTGGGGGGGGGGGGGGGGGGTGCGGGGTGGCGTGCAATTTAAATTTTTTTTTATTTAAATTATGCATACAAAAATGCAATTTTTTAAAAGTTTGAGGGGGGCACATCCGTCCCAGGCACCTACCTCTGCGTTGTTTATGATTCGAACCCCAAAATCCTTGGAGAAGAAAAATGTAACTTCACCATAACAACCTAAATATTGTGTTTTACCCAGCTTGCCAAGAGAACAACCGTCAAAGTTGAGTTTGCACACAGCTCATGGAGGACGAGGCCAACTACTTGTGATTCATTGATCTCGGTTTTGGCAGAAGAAACACCCTACCCATCCAATTTGACCACGGAAGATGAAATGCTTCACATATTCATTACATATTTCTCTAGTGTGAAAAAATTATTTGATGCATATTCAGTATCCCTTTATCTGAAACTTATCCCAGTTATATGATCTCATGTAAAATTTGTGCATGATGGGCCTTTTTTATCCCCTTGCAAATAATGCCATGATGGTAGTAAGATGGGCCTATGCCCTTTCAAATATGAGTCAACTAGCTATAAGTGATAAGCTTATATACTTGATAGTTTGCATCAAAGGAGCATTTGGTAGATCATTTGCATGTTGCCCTGGCACATTCTTTTTTCCATTTCCTTTTCCTCTTGGAAATCTTTTTTAAGGCATATGATCTTACACACAGTAGCTGTTTCAGTTAAAACAAAGAATGATGTCTTCTAACCATCTTTCTTAAGTGAATACTTACGAGTAAAGTCAATTCAAGCATCCCTGGAGTGTTTTGTAAATGTTATATGTTTTGGCATTGCCTAAGTAGCTTGGACACTGCTTGCATCTTTTATTAAAATAAAATGTGGCAAAGAAGTCCTTGACATTTTACAGAATGTATTAGCCGAGGAAAGATTCCAAGAAATTATTAGCACATTATCAAATTCTGATTCCACCTTCAACCATTTGTTGAGGTTTCTGTAAGTTTCTCCTTCTCTATCTGGATGTATAGCTGTTATTTCCTGCAAAAAAAGAATACTGATTGTCTGCAACACCAGGTTTTCTGCTGTTTGTTGTATGGATTTGCAATCCGGATTGCTATCACTTGAGAACTTCAAAGCTGCGCTTTTGAGTATTCGAAGGCAACCAAAGCTGGAAAGTTTAAAAGGTATGAAAATTTAATAATTTAATCGGTCATGCATTCTTGCTGATTTCATTATTCTGAATTGTCTTTTTTCACCTATAACCAAAAGTTTACCTGTTTAGGATAATTTATCATCTTGCATGATTTCACTTGTCTCATAATTTATTTTATTTTGTTTTTTTAAAATAGTTGCTAGTCTATTTCTCAAACCCAATTCAACACCCCCCCCCCCCCCCCCCCCCCCCCCCCCCCTGATTATTTGGTTTATGAGTTTGCTACTTTCACCACTGGGTCATTAGACTCATTACCCAGCTGGTATAACCTCTCCTCCCTCAAAGGGGAGGTGAGGGGTTCGAGCCCCATGGTGGGCATTTGTAGATGTGTGTAATTTACCTAACCAGAAAAGATAAAAAAAAAAATGAGTTGCTGCTTTCATGCTCTTATTTTTCCAGTCAAAATGTTTTTATTTTTAATAATAAATAAAGCATAAAATATATATTTTTTATTTTTATTTTGTTCAAGTTTGTTTTGCATGAAATTTTCTGTGAAAGTGGCATATATATATTTATGTTAATTACTCACACCCCCCACTATTGCCCCTATGGAGAATTGAATCCTTAACCTTCTGTTTGGGAGGTGGAGATACCACTTGAGCTAAAGGTTCATTGGTCTGTAGAAGTGAAATTAGTGAGGGAAAGATACCAAGGGTTGTTTTTCCCAGTGGTATCTCCTCTACCTCTCGAAGTGGAAGGTTGAGGGTTTAAGTCCCCATAGGGACAAAGTGTTTGTGTGTGGCGTTTTATTTGCCCGAAATGAATGAGAAAAAAGATGCTGACATTGCTCAATTTGTCATGATCTCACTATACCTTTAATAACACGATTATACATTTTCACATAAGGAAAGAAGTGGGAGAACAATATCGGAAAACAATTTGAGCATTATTTATAGGAGGGGGAGAGTCATAGATTGTAGGTTTATTGTGTGTTACTGTCGATGGTCTCAACAAATTGACTCTTAAGTTCTGTAGGGTCTCAATATCAATAGCCATACCATACCATATTGTCTCTTATGATTGGTAGAAAGTGTAGGTGGAGGCTGTCATGAAAATTCTCACGTTACTGCCTTTTCTTTCTTTATTATTGAGTTGAGCTCTGTTGTTGCTAGCTTAAGCGTTTCGTTGACTGATAGCTTACCTCAAAATTTGTAACTATAACGGAGGTACAAGTCTTTAAAGTACCTTTCCCCCTGGACAAGATTATGAGATGGTAACCCAGAGTCCTCAATATTGACGAGTTCCATAGAAATATAGCATCATAGTTGCTTATCCTATTTCTATAGCAAGCCATTGCATGGATGGGCTCTTAAAGCAAATGCTATCTGGAGATGTTCTTGGATTGTGACCAATAGATAATAGGTGGCGAGTCCAAGGATTTAATAGATGTTCCCAACTCAAAGCGAGAAAGCCCCGTCTCATCTTAGCAGGTTGACTATTCTCAAGTCATGATATAATATCCTCGTGTTTGAAGCCTAGTTACCTCTTGGCCTCCACAAGAAGTGTGATATATTGAAGCAGAAAGTTTGGCATTAAGAGATGAGGAAATCTCATTCAGAATTAAGTTCGGAGTCAACTGGGAATCCTAACGAGAAAATACATATTAAGAATGAAACATTAGTAAACCTCAAGATTCTGTTTCACTTTAATAGAAACCAGTATCATTCATTTCAGAAGCACTTTCCTTAATTCTTGGAAGAGGGAAGTGTGGGATGCTGGAATCTCTTTAGGGAAGATATTTCATTAGGATGGGTTTAGGAAAGTCGCTTAAATGATGCTGACATCAAATCCAAATCAAAGAATTGGAAGAGTATATTAGATATCACAGTGAAGTTACCATGGAACCCACGTAGGGAAAGCTAATGAGGCCTTGGGCGACCACCTTATTCGCCCAATGATGACGCTGTCCTTTATTCCCTTCTTCTTGTACTTATATCCTGTGTGTACAAAATTTTGCTGGTAAATATTTGTTTTTTTGCGGTAAAGATTTTGATAACATTCAGTTCAAATTCAACTTGTTCATGCAGATTGCTCCATTTTAGAACTCTATATTTTGGTTTGTATGAAGAGGTTAGAAGTCAAAGAGCAAGACTCGTACAATTTCATTTCTGTAATGAAAGGTTTGCCTCGTCTATTATTCATACTGTTACTCTATCACCAGTATGTCACTTTTCAATTACTTGTGTTTATCAAATATGACAGAGTACAAGAGCATACATGATGCGTTCCAGACATCTGACTATTATGCACAGAATGTCTGCTTACGGGTTCGTTTGACACTTCATATATGTGAATCTTGATGTGGTGTACCCTTTTAAATTATCTCCAAGCATATTAAATCCTTTGCTCCGAACTTCCGCAGGCATTTGAGCACCTTCTACAACGTGAATTAGTCTCTTTTATGGATAATAGAGGACACAATCAATCAATTGAATTTCGTCCAGTTAAGCTACTAGTTTCGTCTCATGAACTACATCAGGGGTTGAAATCTCATCATTCTTGTCCAGTAAGTCGCTTCAAGACTGAAGAGCATCTTTGCGTCTAAAAGCTCTTAATTTTTTCTAGTATTTAATTTGCTGTTAAAGTCAAATTCATTCAGATTATTGATAAATCATTATACTTTGAGGTGGATTTTATTGGAATGTTTATAGCTGTTTGAGAAATGTCATGCTCATCTAAATATTATAATGCATTGGAAATTTAGGTTTCTAGCATTATCTAAAAAAATAATTTGAATAACAAATTTTCTCACTAAATCTATCAAAAGATGGTGATCAGAGTATTATTTTGGATATGTTGTGTCAGGCAATGCTCCAGAAATTAATTGAAGGTTGAAACAGCGAATGGGATAGTGGTGATGGCTCTGATTAGCTGCTAAAGAGTGAAACCAAAGGATAAAGTGGGTTTTACCTTCAGCGACATTCATCTCCCGCTGACATTCATAACTACTAGTTGTTGGTAGGAAGCTGACGATGGAGGTTAATCAACAGTTACTAAGCAACTGTCAGAGTTGATTTATTATAGAACTTGAGTTGCAGTAATGACTTCTCTTTGGAGTGTATTTCTGCTGTGTTTCTTGAGAAGAAGCATCAAACAATACTACAAAAATATCAACCAATCAATCATTTCTGATATACAGCTCCATCAAAGCATGTCTTCCATGCCTCTTCAACAGTCATTATATCATCTGGTAAGCTTAGTTCTTGGTTATCCTCTAAATGGTCCAGAATTGTGAGATATTTATTAAACTTTTTGTTCAGTCTTCTGATGTCATATATTTGTGATATATCCCATATGTTCTTTTGATGAAAAGAGTGTTGGACCAAAATATATGAATCATGTGATGTTTCAGTGTTTTTAAAAAACGTGTAAATGTTGCATTCTAATTCTCTGGTATTTGATATATCGATGAATGTATATTATCTTCTTCTTTTTCCGGTATTGCTAAATTATTCGCTCCCTTTATTATTTTCTTTTTATTAAAACTAAGTTAACCCTGCCATGCAATAGTCACTATTTTTCATGATATTGTATTGAGAAGATAATTGCTTTTTATTATCATATTTCAGACTAAAACAAAGGGGTTCAATAAAGCAATCTTTGGAAAATTTAAGTACGTTTCAAACGGACTTTGAACCATTCGGGTGTTTGGATCTCGTCTTTCTCACCTACAAAAAGAAGTTTAGAGAGAGAGCCAGAGGTTTTTAGACGATGAAGAAAAAGAAAAAAAAGAAAAAAAGAAAAAAAAGAGATGAGACTAAATAAATCTAGGAGACATGACCAGAGAAGAGAGAAATTTTTTTAGAGAAAAATAGAAGATGGCACTGCCCATTTGTATTATTTTACCCGGAGTAGAGAATTTCTAGAAGATTGGAGTGTTTTGTAGCGTACCTAGCGTTGGAATGTCTTAGTTAGATAGATCTATAAATAGGATTAGGGTCTCATTTTTGTGAGAGTGAGATAGGCTTGTACAACCAACTCTTTGTTTAGTAATAGAAGCATTCTAGTGTCAATCACAAATTCTGTCTCGGATTGTCTCGGATGAATTCATCTGAAGTCAGCAAGAAGGAGAGAATAGATACCGTAATGTTAAGAACCAGCAAGGAGACATTAATACAAAAGATCATGTCATAAATAATAATAACACTATCATTTAAGATAACTACCGTATCGTAAATAATGAAAAGATTCTCCATTCCAACTAGTTGCACCTCTTCCTCCTCCCTATGTCTTGATGTAGACACAAGGTGACCCTCCCTCCCTCCACTGCTTATATCGCCTCTCCCTCCTCTCTAGCTGATAATGGAAAAATTCATGGTTTTTGTGGGTCGAGTCTCACAAAAGGTGACACTCTCTCCCTCTATCCAACGATGTGATCAAACTCGTTAACAAAGACACTATTCATAGGTTCGGTCCTGCTGCCCGAGCCAGCAAGTTCAGGCTTGAAAAAAAATTTATGTGAAAGGTCCCTGTCATTGTAATGGATGTTCTCTTGAATAACACAACATTTGCCTTCGAACTAACCGCAGTGTCTTGGCCGTCCCAATAAAAAATCGAGTTGAAGAAAATAATACTGGTTTGAATTTGAATCTCAATATTGAAATTAATCAAAAAGACTCCAACTAGCAAGGAAAACAAAAAACTATATTCACGCTACACAAATATATTCTGGTGCTCCACTTAACTCATTTAGCAAATATAATTACCAAACTACCCTTTTAGTATTTAATATCAACTATGAAAGTTCTAAAAGCTCTCTTGTGATTTGTTTACTCGGTTTGTTTTTTTGTTTTTTCTGTTATTTATTGAAAATTCCCTTTAAATCTTAATATCATCTTAACGTTAAAAAGTACTGTATTGAATCAAATAGAAAAGAAATATAGTTACAAGCTTGATCCTAAAGAAAAATAATTTCAAAAAAAATTAATTTGGAAATCGCCATTTATTTTCTAATAATACTTTCTTTCCATATTGTGTAGGTGATTTTTAAAAGGTTTTAGAATTGTATTGTGTAGGTGATTTTAAAAAGATTTTCAGAAAAAAAAATATATATACATATAGATTATTTCCTTTTGTCTCTTTCAGACTTTTCGGCCTGTTTTCCCTCGCTTTGGGCGCGAATCACTTGCAATGCAATTCGCATGCTGTTTCCTACGGTGAGCAGTAAGTGGCCTTAGTTTGGCCACGTTTTACTTCACTTAATAGACACTAACACTGTGTTTGGCAATTATACCACTATTTATAAGTAACATTTCACCACTATTTTTAAGTAACATCACAGAAGTCTAAAAGTAATATCACATAATCTAAAAAGTAACATCACCACCATTTCTAAGTATCTTTCACCCTCAAAACGTGGTGATGTTACTTTTTAAACTATGTGATATTATTTTTAGACTTCTGTGATGTTACTTATAAATAGTGGTGATGTTACTTTTTAGACTATTTTTACATTTCACCACCATTTATAAGTAACATCACAGAATTTAAAAAGTAACATCACCATTTGTAAAACGAAACATCACTACTTTTAATTTCAAATAATAACATAAATGATATGTTGAATTGAGTTATGTTTATATGTGACATTACTTTTTAGATTATGTGATGTTACTTATAAATAGTGGTGAAATGTAACTTATAAATAGTAGTGTAATTGGCCAAACACAGCCTTAGTATCCGTTAGCTGAAGAACGATGTGGCCAAATATGGACCACTTAAAAGTTACAGCAGGAACTGCATGAGAGCCTCACTGTAGGTGATTCGCGCCCGCTTTGACGTCCATTTGGGTCAGTTAACAGGTTCGGCCCTTTTTGGTTTTCGGGCCCTTGCCCCGCTCAGTATAAACCCTACCTTGGCTCGTGGACTCGCAGTTGTCAAGGAAGGAAAACAAAGCGGCCAGTCAGATCGATTATGAAGAAGACGACGACAACGACGACTACTAGGGTTTCAGTTCTGCAAGAGCTTATCTTCGAGATACTGAAAGAACTTCCAGTGAAAACCTTACTGAGATTCAGGTGTGTTTCCAAGCTCTGGCGCTCCATAATTGATGATCCACTCTTCGGTCAGTCGCACCATAATCGGTCCATCAATCGGCCTGGCGGTATCAAACTTCTCTTCGTGACTACACTGGGATATCATCATTGGACATTCAACTTCACAGACCCAGAAGGTGGTTCGTCCCTTCATCTTTTATCTAAGCCCGCCGACTTGTATTTTCCTTTGTATTCAGTCAAAGGCTTGGTCTGTTTTCAGAACTGTATCTGTAACCCTAACACTGGGGAACGCCAAACACTTCCGCCCGTAGCAATTCAAATACCAGGACAATTCCATAAATTGACAGTAGCATCCTTCAACCTCTTAGGGTTTGACCGAGCTTCTGGGAAACACAAAGTCCTTAACATAACTCAAATTGATTGTGTGGATGCTGATGATTCTGATAACGATTCTGATGACGATAATGAGGGGCAAACTCAGTTCAAGGTTTTTGACTCTTGGCGGCGCCGCCTCCTCCAAGTGGAGAGATATTGATCATAATAATTATAGTCAATTAGACAGATTGTCAGTTGATGATAGTAAAAGGGCTTGTTCTATCAACGATACTATATATTGTTTAGGTACCAATGGCTTCTCAAACAAACATGTGATCTTGGCTTTCGAAGTTGGACAGGAGAGCTTGAAAATCATGCCATTTCCTAAAGGCGCAGCTAGCGATTCTTTTTTTGCAATACCAGTGAGAGAACGTTTGGCTTTGATCAATTCTAGGGTCACCGAAATTTGGATACTAGAAGACTATGACAAGCAACTCTGGAATAAACAGACTCTCAAGGTCCCATGCTCATGCAAGAGATCTATAGTGCCGTTTTGTAGCTTTGGTGCAGAGATTTTATTTGGATATAACGAAGGAAAGTTCTCATTCTTTTATTATGATCTGAAAACTGATACAGCGGGGAAGATTCACGAGCTATCAAAATTAGAGCTATCAAAATTAGTGTCATCAACTCCCGTCTACTTCACCAACCACACAGTAAGTATATTTCGATTGGAGGGTATCTAATTTTTCGATTGAAGGGTATGGAATTGAAATGGTTGCCATGCTTTTATTAATGGGATGTCTTCTTTAGTTTTGGAAACATTCAAGTAATCTATTTGCAACTTCAAATTTCTAGATAATTTTCGAAAAAAAACTTCAAATTTCTAGATTGGAATTTTTTTTTTTTTTTTTTGGTGCTTACAAAGCAGAGGCAGGCTTAGAAGTCTAAATTAGTGATTCATTTTGGTTCACCCCTCTTTTGGTTTCTATTAATTTTGTTCTCATAAGAAAAACACCTCTATCTAACTGGGGAATAGATATTAGGTGTGTCAAGCATGTCACATCATAACTCATAAGTATAACATATTATCAGTAATTTTAAAAATAGGTAGGTTAATTTACATTTTTTTTTTTTTTGAAATGACAGCATTATCATTGGTCGGGCATCTGTGTGACACACTCAATATTTATGGAAATTTGTATTCTGAATGTTCTGATATGTGATTGTTAAATAAGTGCATACAACTTGCGAATAGATATTGGACGGACTCATCCGAACCGTAAGTGTGCGCGTGTTGTGCACTTACTGCAAATAAAAGATATACATGTTTTTTTCTTCTTTTTTTTTTTCTGTAAATAAAAGATATATATAAAAGATAACTCAATTTTTGTGATTCAATATGAATTTTTTATATGACTGCCTGTTAGATGAAATATATTCTAGAGTTTTATTGAATCTTTGAGTTTCATGTGAAAATCGACATAAAAGGTGTTTTATTCAATGTCAGTTGGAAGGGGTGGGTGATCAGCCAAATCAACTTTGGGAAAGATTGTGTTTGCATTAAATCAAACATAAAGTTTCATGATCACTTGAAGCAGATTTCTGAACAAGGATCCTCTCTCATGAACTCCGCAGGCCTCAATTCTATGCTCATTAAGACCAAGACCGCACGATTAAACCCAAATACTACATCCAAGTAATCACATCAAGCTTTTTTTGCATACCAACGACTCATCAAGATTTTACCCAAGTCTTATGTCCAATTCACCACCATTGACGGTGTAAAAACCGCACAATTTTTTATTTATTTTTTAGTTAAAGGGTAAGCATTTATAGAAGAAGAAAGATTGTACAGTGAGCCCCCAAGTGAGGGGGAACAGAACATGAAACAAAAACAAGAGCAACAACAAGGGCAACCAACCCAAGCTTCAAGTTTAATTGGAGATGCAGTGAATTGTCAATTACCCACCTTGCTTTTGCAGATGATCTACTTCTTTTCTCCTTTGGAAATCTTGCCTCTGTCAATTTATTGCACACTGCTCTAGCTAAGTTCCTTCAGATTTTTGGTCTTTCAATTAATTGTTCAAAAAGCCAAGCCTTCTTCTCTGAGGTTCATAACCAAACCAAAGCTGCCATCTTTTCACTTCTACA